ACACATATATATATACACATATATATATATACACATATATATATACACATATATATATATACACATATATATACATACACACATATATACATACACACATATATACATACACACATATATACATATACACATACATATACATACATATACACACATATACACACATACATACATATACACACATACATACATATACACACATACATACATACATACATACATACATACATATATATAGATTAGTGCAGTCATGGGAAGACAAAACTGTACCAAAACAGACTTTAATGGGCCAAAATGACAAAAGTGTGAGAGGCCAATTGCTACTATAGCACAAACTGGGACACTCACTTCTGAAGTTCTTTGCTGTCGTCTAGCAGCGACTCGAGATGTGCGAAGCCAAAGGCTCTGTAGAAACAGTTCCCATCTGGTCGCGTCTTGCGAATGTACGAGTATTGTTTGTGTAGGTCCTGCAGCAAAACCAGAAAAGAATGATACAAAATCAAATGCAAAAAGAGTATTTGGGTATGTAAGCAACATACTGTTTTGTTGCTCTGGATAAAAATACATGCTGGACTGTGGAGGAAATGCACCCTGATGTGGGCGCAATAACCTCAGACCAGGTGGTGCGGATTGACTCACCTTGATCTTGAGCTGATATACTGTGTCCTCCTCAGCGTACTCCCTCTGCAGCACCGCCAGTTCCTGTCTGTCCGACACTAAGGGGCTACTGTTGGCTATCTAGGTACCAACACAAAAAAATATATAGAATTGGGGCATGCACAGTAAGAAACTTCCCTCATGGGTGCGGCTGCCCTGACCAGGCTCTTCTTGTTGTCTGCACAACGGGATTTTGGGTCTATACGGTTACAATATAGACCCAAAAAAAGATGTGTATTTATATATTTCATTATACAGAACTTCATTTTTGTATGCATCATGTTCGTATCATAAAATATCTTGTTTCATTAATAGGTCACAGCTGTGCAGAATAGTATAGTTTTCTGAACAGGTCACGGTCGATGTCATTAGTTACTGGGCAGGTTTAAAAAGCAGTAATCTGAATTATTATTATTATAATTAGCATTTTCTATGGCGTTCAGCTGTATCTACTCATAAGCAGAGTTTTCCTGAATGTTTAACTGAGAAAAAACTGAAAAATAACTTGAATCTGGGAATGTTTTGATTCTGCTCCTCAATAAAAAGGGATATCTCACCTCCTGCTGAATTCTGTCCTGTTGAGCAATTATGGCCTCATCATATGCGAGGCAGTTCCCTCCTGAAAGACAAAGATGAATTAGGCTTCAGGTGTATGCCCGTGTTTATGAAGCATATCAGAATGGAAAATTGGTCAGGTTTAAATTTCAGTGGAACCATTACTATAGTGTTGGAATGAAATAAGATCAGTGCTGCAGATTTACAATACAGCTGCAAAAGGTACACTATTAAATACAGACATGCACCCATGTAACCTAAACAATACAGCTGGATTACCCATGGCATAATCAATGCACCTGCAACACATGTTGCAAAGGTGATTTAAAGAAAAAAATCAAAAACAATTGGAAGTATCTTGAATCATGTATTTGTTCATGCATGCACAAATAAATCTGGCAGTGTGGTTCCAGGTGGTGGAACAAACTGCACAGGCATGTTGCAGCTCCCAAAGAAAGGGCTTCAACGGTGGCAGAGAGGGTTAGTGCCTTCAGTGACACTTTATTAAGTTGTGTCCTGTATATTAATGTGTTTCTGTTTGTTTATCTTTTATTGTCTTGACATTAAAAAGAGACATAAGAGTTGCCCTCGTCTGTGAAACCAACATTACACTCACGTAAATAACGAAAATCATCAGATGGGTGACGTTATGTATTAAAAACGTAATATAATGAAGACAATAATAAAGCATCCACGAAGACGACTACACGTTCTATTCCCGTTTTCATCACATGCAGTCACCACACGCAACCACAGACGGATTCAGCAGTTAACACGAAAACAACTTAATCCACAACACCAGCTAGCGTCAGTCAGTCAGCTCAGCTAGCTCGACCTGTGCGTAAACAAAACACATTCTCGTCACGACGAATGTGGTCCGTGTTAGCAAACAAAAATGGAGAGTCCTACAGTTAATATTAAACGTATAGTTTTAACATTTCCTTAGGTAAACACTCTGGGACTGTCACGTACGGTTGCCCTGTCAGTAACTAAACAAGCGTTTTCTCTTTGTGTAGCAATGGTAGCTAGCTAACGTTAGCCAACAAGCTCTGGCCTCTGTCTCCCCCTCATCGCTGCATGTCAACCGCCTTCATTGCGGAGAAGGCAGCGGCTGAAACGCCCGGTGCACACTCGTGGGTACGTGGGCTTCGCTTGCGAGAGAAATGAGCGCGCTGTTAGTTCGATAGTTTATGTTGGAACCGTTTCTCTCACCCTCCACCTCTCCCTGTGATGATTCCTGCTGCTCCTCCGCCATCTTAGCTGTCGAGATCTGTTTCCTCCTTCTGCATGACCTCATTCATTACACACTTCCGGGCGAGTCTTATTTGTGTGTTTGTTTGTTTGGTTTTTAACAGTGGTACATGCTTTCATGTCAAGGCCCTCTAAACACAATGGGGTTTCAACCAAACTATTAAAACAGTCTTGTAAAATGTACATTCTCCCATTGTGATGGAACTTTGCAGCCCATGATAAAACCCTTATAATTGAACATCCAACTTTACCTTACTTTAATAAGAGGTGCCTGCACTGAGGACCAGGGCTGGATTACCAGCAACTCAAAGTGGGCAACTGCCCCAAGGCTCCCAGACCCTAGGGGTCACACTGTGTTTGCTATGTTGTAAATTGGTTCGTGGTAATTTAATTAAGTGTAAATTAGTTTGGTAAGGGTTTGTTTGGTAAAACTAAAATTATAACAGCCATGTGGTGTCCTCATACATTATTACCAGTTATGTTCTTGCCCTGTATGGTCCTGTGTCAAAATCTAGTTTAAATACCTTTTTAGTTTGTAGTTGATGTTATGCGTACATGGTGTTTTTTCTTGAATTAATTTGTACCACAAGCTCACCTTAAACTGCCCACCAAGCATAATGTAACAGGACACATAGACTACGCACCTAGAATTTGAGGAACCGTCAGTCAGGCCCACAGCTCATTTGGTCCTTTAGAATGGCCCTGCCCGGGGCACATTAACCCCTGCAAAAGTTCAACAGGAGTCTCAACAAACAATTCACAGGTAAGCCAGAATAAATGTCAGTGTACTTTCCCCTATTTACAAAAGAAAATAGTTTTAGTTAGCATCAGAGTTTTACAAAAAACATGCACATTTATTTCCAACCCATCAATACAAGCAGATACCCATACATAGCCCTTAAAATAAATGAGAATCCAGAAAGGAAGATCCTTTTTTTCAGAATCACAGTGGAATGCAGAGTCTTTCATCGTTCTGTCGTTTTGCATTAGGCTCATTCAGGTCCCTGCACTTTCCAGCAGTAAACATCAGGGGGCACTGTCTACAGCAAATACAAAACAGCACTTGCAATGGTACATATTTGTGTTGTATCTACAGAAGATAACATAAAGTATGTATACATGTGAGAACAAAATAATACTTCATAATTGCCAAAAAAGCAAAAGTGATTTTTTTCATATTTTCCCTATGGCACTTTGTTTCCCATATCGGGGCTGTAACAGAACCCAACACTGATGTATACAAACATATCCACTATTATTCATCTACAGATAAATAATACATGTTTGGTTTTGCCACAATACAAAAAATCTGTACCGGTTTATGTCAAATTCTCCTTGGAAAAGGCATCTTCTTGTCTTGGATGTTGAAAAAAAATCCAGCTGGCAGAAGAAATGTTGCAACGTACAGATACAGTAAGCTATGTCCACATTCATGGCAGCCTTCCTTTGTCTCTACGGTCTGGTGTTAAAGTCCAGATGTATTCACAAAAGTAGCAAGCAATCGGTCGAAAAAAAAGTAAAATTAAAATGTACATTGCAAACACGTGGTATTTCTTTCAGCTTTCATCCACTTTGTATGTGTGTGCATACACGGAGGTACACAACATTTATACACACCTATATATATTTAGTGTGTGTGTTTAATATGTTAAAAATACCATCCTCGCATAGCAGCCTGAACAGGGGACATTCATTATCAGTCTGCTATATGTGTATGCTTTACTATTTACTGTATTGATGATTTGAAAAATATATATAAAAGTATCTTTTGAAAGAAATAATTTGCATATTTGTCCAGATTTACAGATCACCAAATCACTACATGTATATAGGACACATTTTCGTGTTTTGTCTGTATGAAGCCTTTATCTGATCCAAAATGTCTCAGTGCTTAAAGTCAAAGGCAAAAGGACAGCAAGACAATGTGGAGGTATGCATGTTGCAGGTGTGGCAAGACAGCAACAACCCCACAGTTTGGATCAGATCCCAAACTGTGTTGTGTAAGGGAACCTAACACGGGTACAGCTACTGATACATTGAATTCCACTACAGCATGAATCCTCCCTCCTTACAGAGGTGTTGCAATGTATGCTGCTGATGTACCAATTTTCCCACAGACTGCACCACTCCTCCTGAATTTGTCGATTTCCTATTAATTTCGACACCCCCCACAAAAAGTATGTCAGCTGCATTCACCTGTTCGTTACAGAGCAACAGATTGCGAAAGACGAGCAAGGAATATTGTCTGCGGTTAAACGCTGTAGTAGCTGCACTGGAAATACTGCGACATTGTCTTTGTTTGTGCCAGTAATTCCGAGGAATACACAACACACTGTTGATCACAGAACATCCGGCAGACATTTGATATCCAGAAATATCCAGGAGATGCTTCAGAGTAGAGCTTTTCTTTTTAAGATTGTATTCTATTGCACCATGTTCCCACACAATAAAAAAGATGCAGCATTTGAGTCAAGATGCCGATTGTTCATACCTGACCACATAATGGTTTTCTTGACTGAAACCAAACATTGCCTGTGTATCTGCATTTGAACCACCTCCAAGACCAGAGCTGGCCAGTGTTGCAGTTTCACGTGTCATTTCCCAGCTGCTCGCTAAACTATCTGGGCCTTGTGGATCAGGGAGGCATGAGGACTGACCACGGTGGAGCTTGGCCGGGGTTTGGGTCTGAGTGTGCCATTAGTCTGCTGGTAGCGTGTACTGTGAGCCTCGGACACCGGGGAGCTGTTGGTCTCGCTGTCCTGGTCATCAGGATGCTCCTGACTGGCGGGACCCCCCAAACCTTCATCTATTTCATCCTCGTCGTCTGTTACCGGTGGGTAGCTCAGAGGAGGCTGCTGGTGTATCTTGGCGATGCTTCCTGGCTGTGAACCCCCATCTGTTGGGATAATGGCGCTGCCGTTCAGCTGTCTTACAATCTCAGTGGACTGTATCCTTGGGATGGCTGATGGCGTGAGGGGAGGGTGGAAACGAGTTTCCTGCTGCAACAACACGGAGCAGACACACTTTATAATTGCAACATCATTAGGTAAGTATGAAGAGGCTGATAATGCATTCCACAATTTGGTGCAATCAGGCTTTGACACTTAATACGCATGCACAAAGACACACTTACTAAAGAAATAGCGCTGTTTCTCACGTATGTCTCCACTCTGAGTCGGTTCTCCTCGTCTCTGTCCAGGGGCCTGTCTCTTCCCCTCCGCGTGTTGTTGTGCAGGACTGGCCTGCCCAGGTAGTCAAATGCTCCCCCTCCTCCCCGTCCACCTGAGAGAGTAGATGGGCTGTCGCGGCAGTTAGCCTGCTCCTGTCAGCGCGGGAAACACTGATCAGTATTCCCTCATTCACTGATTAGATGCATAGATTGTATTGTCTTTTGCACCCTTATTTTAAACTGAAGTGACTTGAAGCAGTATTAATTTGAAGGAGGTCAAGTCGTACTGAGATCATTTACTTCGAATGCTAATTAATCAATTAAAGCAACAGTTCAACATTTTGGGATATGCGTTTTCTTGGCTAGAGTTAGATGAGAAAATGTATACCACTCTTGTATCTGTGAGCTGGAAATAAATCTACAGTTAGTCTGGAAACATGTGGAGCCTAGCCTAGCTCATGGTGGTAGCAACTCTACGGGCCGTTTAAGAAATATTGTCTCTAGCTCAAGATCAAAAGGGCTCCCCATGTAAAATGACATTTGCTGTACTACATTAGATTATATAACACTTTCAGATTTCTGAATAATGTCCTAATAACTTCCAAGATGCCTCTTATAAAGAACTACGTAAAATCAATGTGTATACTTCCAATCAAGTGCTTCTAAGTCATTGGAAGCTTATGTAAGGAGGTTAGTGCACAGCACGTCAGCTCAACATGCACAAATGTCGATTTTGTCTACAAACAAGTATGTCAACATAAATGAAAACTTAAGTTCACAATAATAAACGGAGAAAATAACCTTCTACAGAACACCATGGTTCACGTCAGTAGTATGACAACACTATAGACAAAATAAATAAAAAATGTAAATTCGCTTTTTATGATTTAGCCGTCTGGCATCTGGACAGTAATGCCTCAGTCACCCAGCCCTGGCCCTGCATGCAGAGTTAGATTGATATTTAGACTGACCCCGAGGGAAGACAGGCTGGTCCTTAAGGTTCCCTCCACCCTCAGAGGGATGTTTTCCTCTGTCTGCAATCAAAAGAAGCAGACGGCTGGATTAGATGTGGCACTGGAAAAAAAAAAAAGTCCATGCCTTTTCAAAACTTCCAAACCAACTCACTTGGAAGCAGTGACAGATGACAGACAAGATGTTATCATTTGACTGCCGCAGTATTATGTATTCATCACAGCACAAATTCTAAATAAGGATCCTGGAATAAACCATTGTGTGAAACTTATGGGACTGGCAGCCTGAATCAGGTCGCGCAGACACACAGGAGAAAACACGAGACGATGCTGCAGTAGGACAGTACGCTCAGTGTGAAAAGAATAATTCAGTCTAGTACCGTTCCTCTGGCGTCTGTGCTGACGGAGTTCACTCTCTTGAAAGACGCTTGCCTGGAGAGAGTGCTTATTTCCTCACTGTGAGAAACGAGAGACAGAGATCAAAGATATTTCACTGTGTACATTTTTATGTAGTTCATACTGCATATTTACATTTTTTTATTTCGTGTTCATGCCTATTTTTTGCTTTTATTTTGCACATCCAGCACACACAGTCATTAATCAAATGAATTTCACACTTTGTGTTCCTCTAATTCAACTTAACACGCTCTACTGTTGTTACTGTCAGATGTGATATGCTTAATAACCCTGATTTGCTCCATTCTTAGTTGTTATTATTCGCACAATCCTCCCTGCGGAGATCATTAAGGTTTCATCTCGTCTTATCTCATCTTGATTTAAAAATTAATAAAATCAACATACTTCCTCACAGTGAGCTCCCTCTCCAGCCTTTTGTTCTTGCGTTTGTGATGACAAATGAGGGTGATGACGATGATGAGCATCAAGATCAGCAGCCCCCCGGCTATGCCCCCCACGATGATTATCAGCATGTTTTCAAACCCGCTCTGCCTCTGGGATTCTGTCAAACGGAGAGTCGGTAGGGAAGTTGGCAGGATTAGATGGATGCACACATTTATTCTCAGAGTAAAGTCAGTATGTGATGTTGACATTGCTGTCGTCTACCTCCCACACCAATCTCCACCTCCGCCTTGCCTACTCCCACGTCATTCTTCGCCACACACTGGTAGGTGCCTCCATCTGACAAGCTTAGGGGTCGCCCAAAAACTAGTGTTCCATTAGGGTGGGGGATGACACCCTCCGGCAACTCTCCCCCCATTCTGCATACAGAAACAAAAGAAAGATTAACCCTTGTGCCTCACTTGGGACAATTTTGCCGTTTACATTTTTGTCTGTGTTAACATATATGGCATACATTTTGGTAAGATTGTGAGGTCTTTTTTTCAAATTTTGGAAGTTCACCCTTTAGCGCCTATAATAAAACACAGACACTCACAAAATATCCCTATTAAAACCAAATAAAAACGTCAGTCACAGAATAAAACCATGCCTTCTATTAAATCAGACTTCTAATCTAGATCTGTGGCTTTACAAAATGTACTATTTTCCACCAGATTGAGGCATTTTCTCATGTTTGCACTATGGGGCAAATACATGCTGTTTTCCTGGTTTCCTTCACACACAAAAAAAAAAAACAACAACCTTGAATTCAATGAAAGTGAAACACAATATTGATATGTAGTATTTAAGCAGTTTTAAGAAGAGGACATTTGTATCCTCTAAGGTAACAAGTGGGAATCATTGACATATCCCAGCCAGACGAGTGGGCTACTGAATACTGAAAAGCCTCCCCCATTCCCCCCTCTCAAAAAATGGAGAACGCTTAATTCCACAAAAACAATAAATACATAGCCCCCGTCTTTTTCTGAACTCCTCTCTGCACAGAGTCCCTTATGAAGCTGCCATATCTGTTGATGGTGCAGTTTCCTTTGTTCAGCCATGTTGCTCATGCTGACCACACCACCATTTCTGCTTTTTGTTCTTTTATGATTCGTTTCTGTTGCACATGATAAATTAGTGAGAGAAGGTAACTCTGCATTTATTTATTTATCAACATAAAAAATATTTTATACTTTTTACAGTAATATCTTAACAATGGCCCTTAGTTGTTTGAAACCACTGTACAATTCCTGGCAGAGTGACTCAGGGAAGATCGATGAGAAACGTCGATGAGCAACACAGTCCAGGGTGTTGCCTCAGTGTTGTTGTTTTGAGGGCATGACTTGAGGTTAATCTCCACCTATTCACATGATCAAACTGCATTGCCCCAGAAACACTGGCTGTATTCCCACTTTTATAGGATGCACTGAAGCAAACCTAAGTTTCTATTGACAGAGGCTTCACTAACTTCTACCACCAGCAGAGAAGAGGAACTGTCTGTTTCACATGAAACAGCTCCCTGATAACATCTCACTCAAATCTACACATTGTGCTTCCTCTTCCTTCTCTCTCTGCCCCTCGGCCCACCCCAACCATTCTGTAATCCTGCTCCCACTAGTTCACCTCTGCTCATCCCTTTCACTTTTTCTTCTCATCCCCCTGTAGCTCCCTCCTTCGTGCGAAACTGTCTCATCTGTCTGCTCTCGGGACAAGCTGCAACACGACACTGTGACACCAGCTATTACTTCACCCGCCGCCTTTTATTGACAAAGCCAACAGGTTCGCCCACTGCAGCAGCCGCTAACACATTTGTATCTGTGTGTGTGTTCATGTGAAGGACCTGCACGAGTAAGGAGAGGTTGCTCATAACTCTTTCTCACAAAAACTCATTTTACCAAGGTGTGTTCCTGTGACTAACAGCAAGTAATATGTACATCATCACCTTACCAAGCACTTTACATTTAAAAGCACCCCATCTGTGTGTGAGGAATTCTTCCCTTGGGGCCTAACTGTCACTTCTCATGATTCCATGGGAGACTTCCAGTCACTTTTTGTGGCTCAAATTTTTTTTTCTCGCCAAACTCTCCGCCACACCCTGAGAATATCTTAATAATGCACCAAAGGGAAACGGCTTACAAATGACACAAGGTGACTCAAGCAGAAGAAGTCCGGCATCTGAGTCAAACCCTCGTCTGGGTTTAAAGCAATGTGCTGCATTTTTACATGACACACGCGACATCTGAGGCTGCCAGTTCCCATTGAAGCATGCCGAATCAGGACGTGCCAATGCCAGGACTTGTTTGGTTAAGTCACGTGGAAAGGGTGGATAACCACCTCCACTACACTGTAAAGTTATTTTAACCTAAAGTATAATCTGTAAATGAGGAGGATACATTAACAAGTAATTGATTCAGAATATGTTGTTGAAAGCAGGTTTCCTCAAACCTTTTGGGGCGAAGGACCCCTTAAAAGGACCCCTTAAAGGACTCCCGCTTAACCATAACACAAGTTAAGCATATGCTTATAACCATTTGTACTCTCGGTACTATTTGTATTCTAAATATTTTCAACTTAAATACTTTATAGTGATAAACAGAAACACATTTCAAGTTGAATCAAGTCAAGATAAGATTAGATAATCCTTTATTGTCCCACAGTGGGGAAATCTGAAATGTTATATACCTTTAAACGGAGGTTGATCTTATTCAAATCGCATTTGGACTCAGCATTTATAGCTTACATTATAAGTAATTGATCTTAAAAGCTTTCAGAAAATGAACAGTAGCGATACTGGCACAGTCCTTGTATATTCTGATATTTCAACCTAGTACAAAGCTGGCTTTCAGTAAATGCAACCATTCAAAAATATTGAACTTGTTGCTGTGTGTCACAGTCTAATCAGAGTTTCTATTGGCCCACAGCTAACATGGGCGGAGTAATGGACACAATATGCTTTGTTTTATTTACGCAATTGGTCCCCATCTGTGGATATGCACTTTGTAATGATACAGCACATTTCTACAGTGAATAACATGCTTTTTGAGAGAGACACGTCGTCTAGTCTGGAGCACACAGTTACATTTAAGAAGAGCAGGACTGGAGAAATAATAGAACCACCCCAGTCACCTGGAGGTGTTTTTACTTCGTCTGGCATTGACTTTGGCCCACGGGGATGACCTGAGTGACTGAACATCCCATTTGTACCCTTGAATGGTGGAATTGCAGCAAAATAATTGGACTAATTACTGGGTTAAGTTACGAGAAAAGTAACAGTGACCAGACACATCAGAGTTAGTCACACAAGTACCAGACAGACAGAGAAGGAGGCGGGTCCTAATGTACCTGATCCAGGTGAAACTCTGTGGTTCGGGGTTTCCTCCACTCACACACCTCAGGGCAGCATTCTCCAAACCAATGGACCAGTCTCCATTGTAGCCAGACACCTCTGCGTGCGGAGGGACTGGGAGGAAGAGCAACAATGTATCAGCTTGTTTAGCTGAGGCACGTGAGGGAAGAACAAAAAGACTAAAGACCAGGACTGAATGTATAGCTGAGGCTGAACAGTCAACCTTTTCAACTGATGCAGTTGTATGAAGGACAACTTCCAATGAATGTAATCAAGTATACAGCAACAAAGCCGAGGTTCATAGTCATAGGGCCCTGACAATATCCTGTAACCACACAATGGTATTAGGGTCTTAAGACTTTTTGTGGAAAGGGAATTTAAAATGGTAAAGAAATGCAAATGAAACTGAGTAATAAAGAGAGGAATATAAAGAGCAAAAAGTGATGATGAAGTCTCTTCCTGCTTTGAAGTGAAGCTGACAGTAAAAAGAAAAGAAAAAAAACAGGAAGTAAAGCTGAAAGTGCAACCAATGTTGAAACAGTTGCTTGTTCTTTGCATGTTTTGCATGTGTCCTTTTTTTCTGGACCAAGGGACCAATTCAAACCTTGTTTTTTTATAATGCAGCACTTCCTCTATATAATTCTGATGAATACTCACAGTGCACCACCAACTTGCTTCTGAGCCTGCGGGGGCCCACTATAGTCGGATGCCACACCAGACAGTCCAGCTTCTTGCCGTTCATGCTCCTCAGGGGGTGCAGGGAGTAGTGCGAGGACACCGCCCCGTTGTCGGAGGAACGATTGACGGACTGGCCAGTCAGGTCAGTGTCCCAGGAGAGGCGGGGAGGCGGGCGGGCTACAGAGCGACAGGAAGCGGCCTGTCGGTAGGACTGTCCCTCCACCAGAATCACAGGGTCCAGGGAGGAGATAGGAACGGCTGAAGGGGGGGGGGTTGTTACAATGTTTGGTCAGAATGAAGACAATGATGATAAGTCAACACAATTAGCAGTTGGTGTTGAATGCACACTTAGAATGAAGTATACAAATATTTTCTCAATCAGCGTCTTACTAAGAGTCATTATTCTACATGAACACAGTCTTCCTCAGAATTTATATGTAAGTATTTTAGTCATTTCCCATGAGGGATCTCTTTATTTGTGTTGTTGTCTGTGCTTTTCTCATTTGTTTGAAGTGGGCGGGGCTCAGTAAGAGACAGGCGATGTCAAGTCTTTCCTGTTTGTAAGTGTTAAATAATTACTTTATAATAATAACAATTTAAGTTTCTATTTCTTTCCTTTAACTGTGCTTGTTACTTCTTTAATCATAAACATTTAATGCTACAGAGAATAAAAGATTTCTGGGGCCTTTAAACTACTTTAAAAATAAACTAGTCAGCTAACATAACTTGTTATTTATAAAAAAAAGATGGAGCCCAGGTTGAAAAACTGAAATGGCATGTTTAGCCATGCAAAGAAAAGAGAGGCTGACGGTTAAAACGTGCACTGAAGGATGAGTAGACTGAGAAATACTTGTTAATTCTATTGAGTTCTTAGAAACTTATTATGGCTTGCTTAATCAAGCCTTCCAGGACACTTTGATAAATTTGGCAAGTGGACTCCTAGAACTTGTATTTGAGCAAACCTGGTCTAGTCTGAGAAAGAGATAAAAAACTGAATAATGAACCAATTAAACATACAAAGTGAATAATTGGTGGTGTGGGATAGTAATGTAGAAATGTTGGAAAATGAGAAAAAAGTGTCTCTAAAGTGCTAATCAGATTGAAAATCCAATAAAATATGATCAGGATTTATTGAAAAGAGTTCCTTGATCATATGAAATCACATTATGATTCCTACGCTGGTGATTATTAGCTTATAAGGGGTGTAATAAATGCTCAACTTGTCTGTGAAAACCTACTGACAAACAAGGTGATGAGTAAGTATGTTATGTATGTACAGGTGATTATGTTTATATTATATTATTATTATTATCAAGCCTGTAGTAAAACTCATTATGTCTTAGAATATGTGGATCACGTTGTGCAAACAGTCATATTGTTCCCCCCCCCCCCCCCATTTGACTGAAAAGTATTTTGCAATTAATATCAGTTTTCCTCCTTGAGCGACATATTGGCACTTCTTGACAAACTTGACTGAGCGAATCTTTTTCTATTGTGTGGCCACGAGGAAGGGACTCACTCCACACGATGAGTGACATCTCTCTGTCAAAGTTGCCGGCGGGGAAGGCGCTGATGCGGCAGATGTATTGCCCCTCATCAGAGACCTCTGCGCTCATGATGACCAGAGACGAGTCCACGGTGGGCTCGCTGCTTTTAAAGCGCACACGTCGAGACCATGTCCCAAACGCTGCAGAGAGGCAGAGAGAGAGTGTGAGAAAGGGAGAGAGTTAAAAGAACATGTGTGGAAGGATCAGGTGTGACACAAAAGAATTAGGCCCACCATTTTTTAAATTTATTTAACTATATTGATCCCTTTAAGGGGGAAATTTGTCTCTGCATTTGACCCATCCCTGTATATAGGGATGGGTGGGCTGCCAATGACAGGCATCCGGGGAGCCGTTAGGGGTTCAGTGTATTGCTCAGGTACACTTCAACACGTGACACGTCCCAGTCGAGGATCGAACCGTTGACCTTGCAGTTGCCAGACAACCCTCTTAACCCAGTGAGCCACGGTCACCCCTAAAGTCACCTTTCAGTTCCATACACATGCCTGCACTCTTGCTGAAGCTGACGTGTACATTCTGGGTGTTTAGTTCAGGGTCTTATCCGGCATGTATCACACTCACAATGGGTGTAAGCTTCAATTCCTAAATCGTTTAGATGGTTTTAAACCGCTGCCTTTAAGCACTATTAGTTTTTTGAGCAGTTGTGAACTGAAACTAACAAATCAACTTGTAATACCACTAGAACATTTGCTCACTGTAATGAGCATAGAAGATCGAGTGCTATGATAAAGACAGGGGAAGTTGTTAAGTGTTAAAATATTCTTTAAGAAGCTTTTTTGAGCATGCGGCAGAGAGAATGCCACAAGAGCCACAGTACCAACTGACCTGTCTGTCCATTAGAATGGTGTGCAAGGATGATCTGCTCCTTAGTGCCGTCGAGTTTCTCCTTATACCAGCTGACCTGCACCACCACAGTCTTACCAGGTGGCTGGTAGCGACAGGGCAGGACGGTCTCCTCCTCTGCCAGGGAGAGTATGGAATCGTTTGGAGGGAGATCCACAAAGTCTCCCCATATCACTGCAACTAAAAGAAGAGAGGAGTAGGTAAGTAATTACATCGAATGAGAAAGAGATCTGAAATCAGTCATATGGGAGATCCTGAAATTGGCTTTCAGTGTGCAGTCTAGTGATGCCGAACTCAACACCAAATGCCCTCCAGCTCTACTAGATCCCTGAAAGTGACCTTTGACCTACAATTACAATAGCTATAGGAAAAATAGCAGGTCACGAAATAACGCCATTTGCTAATTCAAAAGAGAGTAGCTCTTCGAGGAAGAAGCTCATATTACAAAAGCATGTGCACCTCCCACTGAAGAATATGGTCTAGCCTTTACCTTTGCTGACCTAGGCTGCGTAGAGTAAATTAAAAAAAAGTCACATTCATTTTGGTCCAACCTTCTTCTTTGTCAGTGTAGTTAATTAAAGGTTCGCTACGACATTCAGAGCATAATTATAGCACTAAACAACTATTAGCACTGTAAAGATATCGTGTAGTAATGTCTACCTGAGCAGGGAATGAAGTCGTTCTCCCTCTGTGTGTGTTGTTCTTTGAGTTTCTCTGTGCTTTGATTACTTAGCCGGGCTGGCCGTGTGTGCCTTTTAGTGCACGTGAGCGTGCTCCACTGGCTAACTCATGGCCGCCGCTCTGCACTGCGCTCATACGGCGTTCACGGCTGATAACATCAATGTAGAAGCGTAGCGCTCACCCTCCAGAACATTGTCGGCTCGGTCAGCACTGTTGCTTATGTTTGCACCTTTTTTGCTATTGGCCCCGTTAGCTGCTTGCCACCATCTCAGCCGTCTCCATGTTGAGAGCCGTGTGGAGGCAATAGATATGCTCAGAATTTAGTATTGAGCACTTTTAAGGATTTACTTTAAAGGAAAAGTTTGAAATGCCGCTTGCTTTCATCTTGAGTTTTAGATGAGAAGATGTAAACCACTCTCATATCTGTCCGTTAAATATGAAGCTACAGCCAGCAGCGAATTAGCTTAGCATTAAAGGCCTCCTCTCACCCTCGAGGCAGGAGAGCAAAAAAAGCATCCTTCCCGATACGTCTAAATTTGTGTTTCTTAACGTTTCAAAGTTTCAAAGTTTCCGTCCTATGGTTTCATGAAATACGGATACAGTGTTCAAAGAAGTTGAATGTCTACTGATTGAATTTGGTGAAAATATCACGGCATGTATGACAATACATATTCAGACTGAAAGAATTTCAATTCAAGCCAAGAGGAGCACAGACGGGGTTTAGAGAGTCCACACAGAGTGAAGACGGACAGGAGGGGGAGAGAGAAAAGTAGTTGTCGATCAGAAGAAGCACAAGGGAAGATATGGCGCTTGACTCGTTGTTCGAGATAAGCTTTCACAGCAAACTAACTGAGGTTTACCTCAGTGTCTGGACAGAGTGAGCCTTTCAAGGCCTCAGGAAACACACAAGACACAAAACACACACAAGTGTGTATTGTGGGTCTCACAATGCAACATTATAAACCACAAACGCTAGCGTGCATCTCTACTTTTCTTTTTTCAGTTTTTGCTGCTCTTCTCCCCTTCTGTTTGATGTAGACGAACTACAACGAGTCAGATTATATCTTTTGATGTCCTCCAGCAATCTCATGAAGCGCACGCACACTTAATGGGCAGTCACGAGATGCTGATTCCTGCAGCCTGCATGGAATGGTTTATAAGAAATTGCAAGAGTTTGTTTGCAACTCTCGGGGGGACATTCATCTTGGCACGCTGCCAAAATAAAATACTGTGTTGTGAAAGTTCTGCTAATGCAAATGAGTGGAATAATTTCCACCTAAAAGCCTGGACAGGTGATTCATCATCATGGTACTATATCACTGCTCTTGACATCAGCCTTGTGTTGTTGCTGGTGATTGATTCCCTTTCTGGGGGTGCAATTTTCTGATGACCATGACACTGTTGACACTGAAGGAAAACAGCTTGTAGGTGGTTTACACCCAAACACTAATAATAAATCAATTCACAACATGACAGACCATCTGTATGCAAGCTGAAATACAATAGGGCGAGCCTTTTCATCAGTAAAAATGTGCCTCTTGAAACATTTATCTCTGATTCTGTTTGCCATTACAAGCAATATAGTTATTGTGCAGACAGCAGTTCTAATTAGTTCTCTACTAATCAATTACAGGGTCTGTTTTCACTATTGTTTGATCAAGATCTAGTTTTGAAAGTATGCAAGTCACCATTGAGTTGCAAATATTAGTGGCAGAATTGTTCTCTCATCTCTAAGTTAATGGATTTTTTTTCTGTGAGTCTGTGGTTAACACAAGCTTAAGAGATTTAAATGTTTTGTTCTGCAACATAAATAATGTCAGTAAATATCCCGGGAATTTGAAGGTTTTGCGTGTTTTAAAAAAGGCGGCTAACAAGTGGCTAAATAAGGCCACGGAGGCTTTGCTGCCTTGTGTGTATACTGGCACTCTTCAGCGTTGGAAGCTTAGTGGTGGTGATGTTGAAGTCATGCGACCGTGGTGTAGTTCACTTATAGCCTAGCGTTAGCTTTTTAGCCCTGCCGAATGTACTTACACTTCAAAAGTCACAAAAGTGGTGTTAATTTGTGACTAATATTTTGCGGAACAAAATGTATAAGCATGATAATTGTTGTTTTTTGTAATAACCAAAAATCAGATGAAATCCCATGAACTGTTGGTCGAGGGAACCAAGTCAGAAATCGAAGTATTTGACATATTAAAGTTTTGACCTGAAGATGGCGCTCGATAAAAAATGAAAGGCCGCGCTAAAGCAGTTCAACCTGAGGGGGGAATTAATGTTTAAATGTTGCTGAGACACACCAAGTGTTAATACAGTTTTGACAACACTAATGTCAAAGATCTCATGTGTGAACAGAACATGTGAGTCAGAGCATTACACTGTCCGTCACACACTGGATTTTAATGATCCACATGGATTTCCCGTGGAAACATTGTTAGTCATTCCAAAACAGCCAACGTAACTCGTATCACGTTCACGGGTGCTTGCGTGTCTTATACTGAGCAGTTCTTACAGGTGTTGATTCAATATCAGATTTAGGAGAATCTGTTGAGATATGTCAGTGGGTATGTGATTCATGCATTTACCAGCAGACCTGATGAGTGTACTCTGCAGACAGGTGTGTTCTCCATGGATATGTGTGGTGTGTTTGTCACCCTGAGGTTTCAGACGTACGGTGGAATCTGCCTGTGCTGCATTACTGGACTAACACTCCACCTACATCTGCCTTCATGTATGAGATTGAAAACGTTTTTTTCTGTTAACTATCATTCTCTGACATTGTGTAAGTATTTCAATTGTGGGCAGATTCGTATCAACCTCAACTCTTTGCTAAGTAATAGGCTCATATACTGATTAATGTGAATGTGATGTTAAATTAAGATTACAATGTTACAACACAGCTACTAATGTGTAGAATATTGAAGTTCAAGACAGTAGACAGACCTACTGCATTTACAACACACACACACACACACACACAATCTTCCGAGAAAGGCCCACGAACACAGGTTCCCTGAATCAACCAGGAGGGGAATTGATCAACAGCAACCTGTTTTTCCAGAAATATCAGTGGTGTTCTCTTTAACAGCACTGCTCCAGCTAAGTCTACCATTAAGACAAGCGGGTCCACTGCCCCAAGTGTACAGAACTTGGCTTATGAATATGCATGAGATACTGGAGGACACCTTCCTTAAGCAAGAAAACTGAAGGTTACATCTTAAATACCTATCTTTTCTTAATTCGTAATGTTCTTCTAAACATTATGAACAGGCCTATTAGTATTATAGGGATATATGAAACAGCCTACAATGAGGTCACTACATAATTGTTGTTGAGAACTGCTTACATGCCATGACCCTGAAGGAATATCACATCTGACACCAGACAGGATAAAGACACAGACATGCTGTAAACTCTGAAAAAGAACACTGTATTTATGCATGATATCACTGCATGGAAAGCCTTCTTACCAAAGATCCAGAGGACACAGAGACACACAGACAGTCTGGTCGGCAGAGGTGCCATTCTCCTCGGCAGTTATTGTTAACTGTGCACAAGCTGGGACAATTTCAGCACTGAAATGAAGCTCATCAGTCCAGGTAATGGTATCCTAAATGGCAGGCATGCATGAAGCACTGAGGCGGACTCATGCCTCCATCCTTGATCCCTTCCAAAGTCCCGTCCTGGGCGAGGAATATGTTACAGCTGTAAAAACTCAGTCCTTGTGGAAAGTGTACGTCCTCTCAGTTTGGTTGCGTGTTGTTTTGTCAAGCACACGCCATCATGTTTGCCCTTCAGAAAAAAAGAAGGAGCAGCTTTACCTGTTTGAGATACACCTGTTAGAGCTACACCTCTCCCTCTCTCTCTCCCTCCCTCTCTCCCTCCCTCTCTCCCTCCCTCTCTCCCTCCCTCTCTCCCTCCCTCTCTCCCTCCCTCTCTCTCTCTCTCTCTCTCAGACACACACGGACCTACACACGGACCTACCCACAAACACACGCACACACACACATGCACTTCTGCGCGCGAAAGTCACCATTCCGGTTCGGTGGAGGCAACTTGACAGTTATTTACTCGTCTTTACATGCTCTGCTCAAAGGAGAGGCAGGTGAAAGGCAGACATTAGAAGTCAGTTAAAACAGCGTTAATAGCCTGCTGTACACTATAGGCTGATGCCAAAACAAGAGGTGCTTCCTCCCATAGAAGGAAAACAAATTAATCCTTTCATTTTGAATGGGATAATTACAAGTATTAAGAAGATTTTCATAATCTAAATCACGGGAATAAACTGAAATCTGCCCACCTTTGGTCCATTTAATCTCCAAAGGAAATGTCACTATAGAACACCTCATGAATGACTAGTACATCATGTTTTTTCTGCCTTGTTTTCGCCCACATGTACACATTGCAATCCTTTCCTCCTTTATTTGATCCATGTTAAACACGTCTCTAATCAGTCTGATCTGGGCTTAATCTAACAGATCAAATCTTCCCAGACATAAATCTTTAGGAGCTTTATGCAAACTGTTAGAAGCCAGTTTAGCTTATGACGACCGGAGGTTTACCACTCCCTATACAAACGTAATATATAGGACGCTATATCACACCGCAATTCAAAGAGAGACAAAGTTATTTAATAAGCAAGTTGAACATTTAATAGGTTTTCTGTATGTATAACAGCTCTATGCATCCTACAGGCAGAAGTTTACGTCGCAAACTTTACAGCAGTCTGTGTTATTTCCTTGATTTCTTTCAGGCACCTGTGTGTGTGTGTGTGTGTGTGTGTGTGTGTGTGTGTGTGTGTGTGTTTGAGTATGGACAGGTAAGGACTTCACTAAAGACACCATCACTGCCATCCTGTGGTGTGCAGGAAACACTGCTCAGTGTTTCTATAATGCTGGAGCTTTAACTGTATTCACCTTCTACCATCTTGCACAAAACTAGAATACTTTTGGAGCCACAAAAAGACTGACATCTTTCAAACGGCCTAAAAGAGGAAGTTAGTTGGACAGACTATACAAATAGAAATATAACATCCATCGACGACATTCATCTTTTTGTTTGTATGCATTACGATACAAGAAGTGTCTGAAGCGTTACAGTTTTCAAAACATGTTTGCGTGAAAATTAAATATGTGCAACAGAGCTGTAAAAAACTAAAATACTTTTAAAAAGGGTTTTCTGAGAGTGCCCATCTTGTGCTCAACTTCCCCGTTTCTGTGTCGTCCTTAACTTCTCGAATTCTAAAAAAGCAAAAGGGAAGCAAACACTTGTGCATGCACTTCTTGGACTTTCGTTCGTCGTGTCACTTCTTCATGCCAATAGTTTCATAAGTGTCCTGGGCATGAGGAGTCAAACCCTGGAGGGGAAACAGAGGGGGGGACAATGAGTCATTCAGTGTACACTATCATTTAAAGGGGGACATATCGTGCACATTTTCGGGTTCATACTTGTATTTTGGGTTTCTATTACAAACATGTTTACATGTTTTGATTGTTTTTAAAAACATTATTTTTCCCAAACTGTCCAACTGTGAATATACCTAGTTTCACCCTCTGTCTGAAATGCTCCGTTTTAGCGTGTGTCTCTTTAAGGCCCCTTAAAGCCCAGTCTGCTCTGATCGTTTTTCCCCATCCGCACTGTCACCGTCTTCACATTCAATTGCAGCCGGGGACTCGTCAACTATACAGAGTTTAGCGGCAATTCTACCGGTGACGGTATTTGTGACATCACAAACTTACAGAAGTCCTGATGGCTCGTTTAAAGACGGACTGTGTGCAGTTCTCTGTGGATTGAGCCTTTTGATACGTGTGCAGTATTTAAATAGCACCTAGACCTGCTTCATAATCAAGAGAAACATGGAAATCTCACATTCTTCAATTTAATATAATAGTCTATTTTAACATTTTAAGCAATCAGCTGTCCCTCATCTCCTTTACGTCATTCACAGCATCAAAACTCACCATATAGACGCCCTCTTCAACATTCTGTCAGGGGTAGAAAACAACAGTATTAGATACAGTATAACTATAGTAACACACACTGTGACGCATCTTTCTTGGTAATTGGCTGTAAGAGGGTTTAACATTGACTATGTATGGACTCTATATAAAGAGGAAGAACAATCTGTAATCTGTAGTGCAAGCCAGAGATCAGCATGAGCCATATGCTTTAGAGTGCGTGCTTGTGTGTGTCAAAGGGGGTTAACCTGTGTGCAGTTTGTGGCTAATGGAAGGAAATTATAGACTACAATAAGTAAAGCGGTAAAACAGCAGGTTAAACGCTCTCGCAGTAAAATGAAAAACTCCATCTCTGCATGCTTATAACAAGTTAGTTTTAAATGATTTCAATTTGAATTAAACAGGCTCTTGAGCAATTTAGTGTTTCAATGAAAGCATGATAATGAAATGAGTATACAATATATAGAGAGACAGGCTTTTCATTGGTCTGTGATGAGACGACTGGGGCCGAGCTGTCATAATAGTTTAACTGGCCACAGACCAGTGCAGGGCTGCTGGGGGAAAAAACCCCAATAGGTGTGTGTTTCCTATTGCCGTTTGCCCACTGAGGTTTGACCTGACGATTGAGATTATGTTTGCTTCCAAAGAAGCTCTGTCCCTGGTTTGTTCACTGAAACTCCAGTTTGTGCTGTGGTGAATTGTATTCTCTGCTATTGAGTTTGTTCTAACCCCTCTATGTCCATTTTAAACAGCACGTCATGGCTTTATGTCTATTTTAGTCCGTGTTTTTATTCTTACCTGCTTGCCCTTTGCGTTCCCAGCTGCAGCCTCCTTAGCATTGTTGATCTGTAGTTAAAAGTTAAAAGAGTGATTATTGAAAGTAACTATATCTGTCAAACTGTAGTTTACCCGTTTCTTTTCCCATGCACTGTGAAATGTTGTATATCATTACATCAGCATATGACATTCACGTATTCTAGCAAAAGGTTTTATGTCATTGTTCACTTTTTTTTCCAGGCTTTATTTCGCTGACGACACCTTATTCCACATTAACAATGTACCAGACTACTTTCTATCATCTTGTCTTTCGTCACACAATGAAAAATGTAATGTTCTTTCCTATTCTAAGTGAATCCGTTTTTTGATGCACGTATGTTTCTGTGAAGGCAAATATGTAGCACGCAAACCTTGATTCTGCAGTAGAGAGCTGTCAGGATGATGCCGTACAAAAACAGGATTCCATCCAGCACGTAGCAGACCTGTGGCTCTGTTAGAGTGGCTGAGGGAACACAGGAGGACACTTTATTAACATGTATCTGGTGATTTAGCTGTTGGGTCTCATGTGATGATCACTGCTCTGTGGGGCTGTATCGTTGTCCTTTACACAACAGGATTATTGAGTAATGTCCGTGCCACCATTTTAGATTGTGAAACAAACAGCCACAGCAGCCATTACATAAGAAGCCATAAGTATTATATTAAACGGTACTTCAATACGGTCTATGGAGAAATATTCAGTTTGTATATTACTGTTTTTTTCTTGATATGCAACACATAGCACGCACACATGTGGCTATGGTGTTGGTGACTACCAAGAATGTTTTTTGACAAAGTGGTTTGTGTGTGTGTGTGTGTGTGTGTGTGTGTGTGTGTGTGTGTGTGTGTGTGTTGCCTTACAGAGTCAAACTATGTTCCTAAATTCAGACTTTGGTACAAATTGAAGTGTAGTAACGATTAATATAATTAATTCAGCCAAATACCAGGCATACTGAGGTTTAGATCATAACTGCCACTTAACGCTGTGTCAAACATGAATATAAGTATATAAGGACATTTTAAAAATGAATAAAATAAGAATGAATGGAATCACTAAAGGGGGATGATGTATGAAGAATCACTCTAATACACATGCACATAGAGGAGACAGAGGTGGAGCGTTATAGGAACACACACAGGGCTGCATAATGTACGATGGGGCATGAGAGGATTCATTATCATTTCTTTGAAAAATACTTTCACTCTGATTGTAGGAGCATGTGGTTTACAAGCTTTTACAGATGATTGTTTTTCTATTGCTGTGGTTTAAATGGTCAGCTTTATTGTATATGCAACCACAACAGTTATAAAAGTTTAGCTTTATACCCATGCTTATCAGATTATTTACAACCAGAAAAGATACATTGTGAAGGTGAATATCATGTGGATATCATACTATTATTGTTGACCCTCCGAAGCTACAGTATCCACTTTTTGATTTACTTTTAAGCAGAAAAATGTTACTACTACCATAAAAACAATGACGATTTGATCATAAACTGCGATGCACAACGACCACCTCTCACTGCACAGCACGTACAAAGTGCAACATTGAGCCTCAGAACTGTACTATCTTTGTCATATACGTTTATTAAAGGATATTGGAATTTATAAACCAGCTCTAAAACATGTCTTGGCCTTCCGTGTGCACACATAGACTCCCACCGCAGAAAGCTTTTAAGCGTCTTCTGCTTTTTGCGCGATGAAGAACATGATGCAGAAATTACAAGCAAACTATAAAAGAGCAGCGACATGGGGTCATATCTTCTCTCACAAATATCTGACACCAAGCTCAATATGTGATGTATTTCTGATGTTGGCCAACACTTTCGGAATACATTGGCCCCAAGTTAGCAGTCAATCAATGAAAAACACAAGCTGCAATATTACATGATTGTATGACAATCTCATGTACATCTTAAATCAACTCCTCTAGCCCTCCCTTTAATAATTTATTAAGCATCTGATGCGTAAACTATAGTGATTAGAAGTAATTAAAGGAGCAATATACGACATTCAGAGCATTAATTTAGCAGCATACTACTGTTTGCTATGTAAAGCTATAGTAATATCTACCTGATGAAGCCACTCTCCCTCTCTGTGTGTTGTTATGCTTTGTTGACAGACCCCAGCCGGCTGCGCATGCTTTTTAGTGCATGTTAGTGCATGTTAGTGCATGTTAGTGCATGTTAGTGCATGCTAGTGCACGTGAGCGCGCCCTGCTGGCTAGCTCAGGACCGCCGCTCTGCACTTGCTCTCATACAGCGGTTACAGCTTTGTCATGGAAGCATAGCACCCACCCTCCGGTAAACAGTGTTAGCCCCATTGCAGTAGTTTTTACTGCTAGCACTGTTAGCACTGTTAGCTACGAGCAGCCGGCCAAGGCTTCGACATTTTGAGAGCCGTTGAGAGGCAATCAAAATGCTCCCAATGTCATATTACGGACCTTTAATGTCATGTGCCTGTGGTTTACCTTTACTAACTTTATTTATCTGTTAGTCCTTAGAACAAATGGAAAAACTGATAAATGTCATAAATGGCTTTTGGATGTTATTTTGTTATTATATTTGCTAATGTGTCTTCCTGACATATTAACTCACAATCCATTGCTTTGATATTCACTGTTTTCATTAAATGATAACTCAACTTCAAAGTTACTAGATTAATTTAAGGATACTAGCTCTGACCGAGCAGATCAAAATAGGATCTCCATGCACAACAAGCTGCTGAAAATAACTGGGCAACAACATGGCCCATCAGAGCTCTCACTGCTGTGGGTTGGACTATCTTAAATTCACTAAAATTAAACCAAAGATGAGATCATAAAAACTGTTTTCATTAAAAAAGTTTGAGAAGATGACTAACACATTGTGAGATGAAATGTGTATGACAGGAAGACACAATGTCACATTTAAAAGCTTCTCAAATAATTATTACATTTAAGACAGATTAATGGAGCTGACTTATATTTAATTATTATTTTATAATTTACACTGATATTTATTTAATTACATATAGTTATTTTCAATGTATTGTTTAATTGACTCATTCTAATTAAGCACTGGAAAGGATTCCTGTGGCACAGTTCACACTCCATAGTTTTGGTGTGATATATACAGTATTTGTTTGTTTGTTTCTTGATTTTAAGCTTTATAAATTAACCCGATTGTTCAATAAAACTTTGGGGTGTTACATTTAACTTTTCACAATATATGTACATTTTAATATCATTGAAATGTAATTTGTAACATATTCAACACTCATTTCTGACCTCATAGTGTACCTTATAGCTTCAAATGTATTTTCTTACATTTAGAAAAAAGAACCATGACGACTTCTCTGTGATGAAACCCACAGACAACAAACACCCTCTTCTGTCCCTCCCTTCCTTCCCACTTTCTTAAAATTAGAAAAACATTTTTAATACAATACAAACATCTACTTGCTTTCTGTTACGCTTTACGGCGGATATTGTGGGACATATTTGGCATGTTAGTTTTGGATGGACAATTATATTGAAAGTAAAAATTCAGTTTTGAATGCCTCTGTTCAGCCTTATCCGTGAGTCAGAGAGGGGGGTTGTGTGGGGGGGGGGGGGGTGTTATCTACCTGTTTTTGTTTCCGCAACTCTCACGTAGCATGGGTTCAAAGGAAACGGCAAACAGTAACCCCCGAAAATAACTGATGTGATAGTGTGATATTAATTAAGCATGCGATTACAACCTCTATCTTTTTAACTTCTCAGTTCACAAAGTGGATAGAGGATACATATTTTCTTTTAAAAACATCTGCACACCAGCTGACTGTGACTGACAGACCATAGATAAAGAAGTAGGCCATAGTCAGCTGTGGTTTGGAATTAAAACTGAAATATCTCAGCTTCAACATAAAAACGACCCCGTTTGAATGTCTGAAATTGCAGACAAAAAACATTAATTGCAACTTACGTTATTTCCATTATCAATTGATCTCCCAATTATTTCCTTAATCAATCAATTAATAACGTGGTCGATAAAACATCCGTTTTTTTTCTGGGTTTAGTCATTTGTTTTTTTTCCTGTTCTGTTGAAAATTAAATAAAAAGTTCAGAAATAACAATAAAAGTAATTTAGTATAAAACCTAGAATATTTTGAACAATCACTATTTCATAGTCGTTAGAAGTTCTCTGAGTGAGCAACAGTCCAGTATAATGGAGCCAAGGAATACATTAAAAAGAGCAAAAGAAGCAAATCCCCACATTTGAGAAGGGTTGCCTAAAAAATGACTTAAATTATTACTGGATTATTAAAACAGTAAATTGTTTTTTAAGTTATTTAAGTGTAAAGTCTACCCTGCTTTAATATCTTCTTGGCCTATTAGACGCCCAATATTAACTGAACCTTTAAGGCTAGATATGCATGTCTATAATTGTAAAATAGTTTTGCTTCTTGTTACTTATCATTCTGAGCATAATAGTTTGAATTTAGTTTAACGGACAACTGTTAAAGCTACGTATTATATGTAAGCAGTCACAAAATACAGAATATATACTGCTAAATATATTGTAATAAATTCAGTACAAAGTATTGGGAGGCATCGACATGATTATTAACGTGACACTACTCTAATAAAGTGAACGTATTTGTCCGTGGAAGGGTGTGTCTGAACTGGTGTAACAAGTGCGGCAGTTACAAACTCCCACCAACCTCAGTCTCACCAGTGAGAAGAGGCAACAGGGTCAGCTTCTCTTTTTACAGGAACTGGAATGTGGCGACGACATTTCTGCTGCCTACTCTACCAGAAAACCTCACTGCTCCAAATAAACATCTGTCAGCATCAAATAGTATTTTCAAAAGTCATGCCTGAGTTTCATCAAGAAAAAAACGAACTTATTGTCCCCCCGATCTCCACTCAACATCGTAGCTGCTGTTCACTCACGCTGTGTCTGAATATCGTTGGGTTTGCTTCCACCATTCAAAGTTTTCTCATAAAGCCATTGCTGTGATGTCTTCGGACATCAAAACCACCCTGATCAATATACAAACTTTAGGTCACAGAATATCCCTAGATGGATGTCTCAACTCACCAGAGGCGCTCCCAAAACTCATCCACAGAGGAATGACGACCAGTAACGGGCTCCTGCCCCACACAGTCATGGTAACACGGGCTCAACACACACAACTGGTACTCTGTTAAGTGGCCAGCACACAGCAAACACGACGACTTGTGGGTTGGGGTTTTTTTTTCCTGTCTGAGTTCGAGTGAACACTCGAGCGTTGCATACTTCACTGCCAACAGGGGAAGTTGTGGTCTGAGCTCTAAGTCCATCATGCCCCTCCCCCTTTAACACCAACCAGAGGAAGGACAAACATCGAGGCTTTGGTCTCTGCTGCCATGTTTAATACTTGAATTTCAGACAGAAGTCCAGGAAATGCAGCATTTGAAAAAAAGAATGGCGTTTAAAATCTTGTAAAATCCCTCAAAAAAATCCCCCTATTGCAATGTGATGGTGAAAAGATACAACTTAATACTTTTCTGTTCGGTCATAAAATATTTATTAGGATTATTTGGGCATTGTACATCAATGTAGAGTCATCTGTCAAAAGCCTCACTACAGCCAAACGTGAACAGGAAGAGAACCCGACTAACAGATGTGAGAAGAGGACGAACTCTCCTCTTCAGAGAACCAGCACGTCAGCGGCGTCACGTTAACGGTCAACTTCGCCAAACACTATGTCCTGTGTACCTGTCAGAAGAAGAAGAAAAGGCTCAGTACCACTTGATAATAAAATATTGTTGTATTGAGGATGGATTCTTGAACAATAATCACTTTCTTACCAATAATGGCCACCACGTCAGCCAGCATGTGTCCTTTGGCCATTTTATCCAGGCCAGCCTAAAAGAAGGAAACATTTATTAACATTCAGAATAACTGACGATTATTCAGAGCAGATGAGCTCTTAGAAAATAGAATATTCATAATTCATGAGATTATAGCCTGAAGTTAATGCACTAACTACTCTAATAGTTTGTTTATGCAACTTTAAAGACATTTTTAGCCTCGAAGACCAAAATTCAAATGACGACGTTAAACAGCGGTTCATGTCCATGAGCAGGAAGAGGAGGAGGGGGGTTCTGTACGCTTTTAAAAATGGCACTATAGTACTTTATAAAATCTACTTAATGAACTAAAAGTAGCCTTAAGGACAAGCCGTTAAACGTGCTGAATAATTGATACCCGGTGTGTTTAATATTTCACAGTGTCTTGTGAAGTTGTGAGTGCGCACCAAGTGAGCGAATCCGGGAGCTTTGATCTTGCAGCGATAGGGTCTGCTGGAGCCGTCCGATACCAAATAAACACCAAACTCTCCCTGCAAGCAACACGTGGGGACACACACAAATACATTCTAGTAAGCATATTACATCACAGCACATCCCTAAAGGCTTCCCAATTAATTAAGACTCAAACAACCGTGTGTATACAGAGGATCTGCAGAGACTTTTTGTTTGCTAGGTTAAAATCCATTAGGTCTTATAGGGCATCTGCAGATTACTTTACTTGTGCGGTTAGTCAGAGGAAAATAGCGAAAAAGGCAATCTTATCCAGAAATATTATACACCTTATGAGTGGTCTCACCTTAGGTGCCTCCACAGCTGTGTATGTGGCCCCTGGGGGGACCTGGTAGCCCTCTGTGTACAGTTTAAAGTGGTGGATCAGAGACTCCATGGACGTCTAGGACAAGGAGCACGTAGAACATGTTATGTCTCAGCAGCTCTTTTGAAAATGATGCACACACACACACACACGTTAGCGGTGGTTGAATCTTGCGCAAGTTTACTGAAATGTAGAATTGAAACACTGAACGTTCCAACACTGAGGTGAACTAGAGGTGATCTCCAGCCTTGAGGGCAGCCAAACTAAAGAGCACTGTACAGCAGAGCTGGTCTAATTCAGTAAAGAGGGTAGTGTGAAGACAAATTAGTGACGCCAGTGAAATGTAATTAACACTCAGAAGTGATAAAGCACAGGAGAGAATCCAGAGAAAGGAACAAAAAAAAAGGTACGACGTTGTCAAGAGTTAATGGCCTGCAGGCGAAATGAAACCATCTCACAGAATGAAAGGAACAGTCAGGAAAAAATACTGTGAGGGAGGTTGAGCTCACCTTCATCTCAGACCTCTTGGGTGGGGCAATCTTGGCATCGTCCACCTTAATCTCTCCTTCTGGCATCTTGTTGAGCGCCTGGTGCATGATCCTCAGAGACTGCCTCATCTCCTCCATTCTGCACAGATACCTGGACCACAACGAGGAAACAGCGGTGAGCTACAGATGCCGATAATACTGCACATCACTACGTCAGCCACGAAGCATGATCAGCGTGCAGTTGTTCTACGTAGATCAATGGAGAGAAGTTGATCACACAAAGAGGAAACAGTGCGAGGGAAGGGGGGGTAATATTCTGAGAAAAAAAAACTTGAATATTCTCTGAAATTAAAAAGGTATAATATGCATCAATTTCCTAAAAAACAATATATGGACTGATACAAAGACAATCCCTCTCAATCATCACTTGACCCACCAGAAGTGGGTGATGTCGTTATCAGCAGACACGCTGCTCTCTGAATGCTGTTTACAACTATGTGACTACATGTTATAACTTAAAAGTTAAAATTAGCAAGAAAAATACTCGTCAGGGACATGTCGCAAGATTGGATCAACCTCATCACACCACAGACGCATTTGCTTGCCTGCAGTGGATGAGCTAATCAAATGACTTTGTAATCTGATTTTAAAGGGAAATATTGGTGATTTTAGCCCAGAATCACCAGATTATGACAAACATCCAGACTTTGAAGAGACATTGCTGTGAATTGGGCCTATTGAGAATAAAACAACATGCTGATTTGAGTTGTTTTCTTGTAAATTTACCACTTTCATCTCAGAGAATATTCAGGTTTTTTCTCTGAATATTACTCAATGCAGCGTTTATAAAACCACTGCAATTCAAATGTCTGACAGATACCTTCCTTTTCACATGAGTCTTCAATGTCTAAATGTGTTTGATACTGATAAAAGAGTAGCAGTAAGGTGATCATCCTGGTGTTGACGAGGAAATGATCTCATGCTAGAAGCTGCAGCTTGCATGTTGCATATTTGGTGATGGAAATGGAACTGAAAAAAACATCTGTTAATCTTGTACCTGTCATAGCAGTCTCCTTTGCTTCCAATGGGGACGTCAAACTCCACTTCGTCATACTTGTCATAAGGCTGTGACTTTCTCAGGTCCCACTTGATGCCGGACCCTCGCAGCATCACTCCGCTGGTGGAGGGGCGAGGAGAGCGGGAATGAATATCACAGCGTGTACACATTCATGCTGGTCAAACTCATTGAAATAGGCAAGCTCTTCAATAAAAGAAAACTAAAAGGGAAGGTCTTTGGGTTACCTGAAGCCGTAGTTGAGGGCCTCCTCAGCAGTAACCACCCCGATGTCCACAGTACGATTCTTCCAGATGCGATTGTTGGTCAACATCTGCATAGAGGAAAACCAACAGATTGGAAAGTTCACCACAGATCTTTAACACCTCCTCATCATGTGAAGGGCTTGTGGGGATTTCAGTCGCTCACCTCTTCTACTTCATCAATTCTAATGGAGAAGTTCTTGCACCACTCATAGATGTCGTCCATCAGGCCGAGGGGCAAATCCTGGAAACACATTTAACATCATTAGCCCCGTGATCATGCTCACCATCTGATAGATGAATCTGATTTGAAGCTGTTCGAACAACACAAGTGTCCCGGAGAGATAGTTGTTTAATTTTGTCATAACAATAAGCCACAGGCATTATTCAACGAGTTCTCCTACCTGATGCACACCACCAGGTCTGATGTATGCGGCGTGCATCCTGGCTCCAGACACTCGCTCATAGAACTCAAACATCTGAGAGGAAACAAGGGACACGCAGTTCATTAGAGGGCCTCAAGTAGTCGATATTTAAAAAGATCATCTACTCAATGGATACAGAACAATGTCAAGTGAATATTTCCTGAGGCCCGAGTGTATGTATATATCTAGCTATAACTAAAGCAGTCGAATACAACGGCCATGAAATAAATCCAACTTTCATGGATCGATGGTTAATTGTCTTAAGAGGGATGGTATGCTCTGGACTACAGATGCAAAGAAGCTTATGGCTAACTCTGATACAGCTAAGCAACTGTCTCTGTCAAACAAACAAAGAAATAATTGCTTAAATAAATGGAGAGAATTGCACATCATTTGGGGCGATTTCTCCTGAAGATGAAGCTCTAAATTACTGAATCTCCTGCAACCACTGAGGTCAAATGATATGGTGGTCAACAGAGATTGTCACTTAACTGTTAATTGTCTGCAGCTAGTTAAAGAAGTCATGACACTTTTGTTGGTCACAAATCTTCTGTTTACTTGACTTAACAGCACCTTCCCCAGTTAGCAAGTGATCAACAAAAAGACGGGACAGAATGAGTCGGACCTTCTCTCTCTCCTCGAACAGCCAGAAGAAGGGGGTCATGGCACCAATGTCGAGGGCGTGCGTGGTGATGGCCATGATGTGGTTCAGGATGCGAGTCATCTCTCCGTACAGAACTGCAAACACAACACAGAACACACACACAACCGGTTAAAGTTGATGAGTCTGTTGACAAAAAACGTTTTTTTTTGTTTTTTTTTTAAAATCAGTAAAAAGTTAAGTTCATAGTTTTTATGGTTTCAGAATGTGTGTTGGATAAAACCCTGGGAAATTGAAATGGAGTGAAGTGATTCATGACGCGAATTAGTTCAAACGGTCGACTCTTATCTCAGAATTGGCGTTGCAAGATTAGGGCTGATGTAAAACAGTAGATGACGTTTTGAGACATTTTCGACCCCAAAATGCAGTTTTTTATAAATATGGTAAGAAAAGTCATTATTAACACCAGCATGGATAGGTTTCATCGCAGTACAGTCATACCATTTAGTTTAAATTACACACTTAAGTGTGCAGTACCTCTTTAGTTAACAATAAATGACGTGTGTGCGTCATTCTAATACATGTCACTGTGTGTCACACCCTCCAAAATCAGTCATCAATCAATATCATTTATTTCTCTAAATATTCAGAATTATATGAATAGCAGCTATGTAGAACATACATGTTCGATATCTAAATAACAATTACAGAAAAAAACTAAAAACATTTTCATATTATAAATATTAAGACTTTGCAGAATCTGCAGACAGCTAACCACTTCCTGTCTGTACCTCTGATCCACTCGGCACGGGGGGGAGCTTGGATGTTGAGCAGCTTCTCCACAGCCAAAGAGTAGGCCTCCTCATTACACATCATGGAAACATAGTCCAGACGGTCAAAGTAGGGCAGAGCCTGGAGCATTGAAAAAAAGAGGAACTGGGTAAGGGACTTCCAAGAATTACATAACACATGACACACGGTAGAAGGTCCTCTTAATCTTTGAGTAATTCTGTTCACGTCAAGAGTTTAATTTGGTCTTTTTCAAAAGAGGAGGTGCGACGTTCTCTTAGCTTGTTGTGTTGAACGCAATAAAATGGGATTTGGCAATAAGTTGTGTTGCCATTTACTGTTCTGTCTTTTGAAACCATCAAAACTGTGATTCCCCACTTTCTGATTTTACAACCTTCTACACATGCAGAATTCAAACTGCTACCTCGTAAATATGAATTACAGAATACAGAATAAGTGCTTCAGTACCTGCAGGTAGGTCTTGTACTCTATGAGCTTCTCTGTGCCACGGTGAAGCAGGCCGATGTGGGGGTCACATTTCTTGACGGACTCTCCGCTGAGCTCCAGGACTAGACGTAGCACACCGTGAGCAGCAGGATGCTGGGGACCGAAGTTGATGGTCAGGTTGGACACGTCCTTCTCTGCATTAGGATCTTTGTCTGCACGAAGAAAACAGAACAACACAGGGCAGGGTAAGTAAACTGGGTATTGCTTCAGGATCTGATTTTCTAATCCAAATAATAATAATTTACAAAAAAAGAAAAGCAGCTTTTTAGCTCACAATTTAGACTAAGTAGCCATAAACTCATAGTCAGATACTGAAGACCTGTCTCCATCCTAACAAAGATTGGTAGACTGTCAACACCAGGGACAACACTGGGCTTTCTATTCCTGACTAAGTTTGGTATGTTGTTTTTTTTATAACTATATCAGATTGTTGTCAGCGTTCACACTTTCTTGGCAGCCCAACATTTTACACTTGCCTTTTATTTTAAATAAATAAAAGTTTTTTAAAATAAAGAGTAGTTAAGAACATAAATCCTTTAACTAGTAACCCTAAGAGTGTGGCTGTGTGTGTGGGGTGGTACCATTCCAGGGGGGTGGGGTCCATTTGTCATTAATAGCAGTGGGGTACATCACTGCCCCAGCAAACTGCTCCGTCCACTCCACATCTGGCTGCCATTGTTTCTGCCTGTGGAAAACAATCGAAAATATTCTTAACATGAGGTAAAGTTGTGTTAGTACGCCTTTAGTTTTGAGCCCATACCGACAATTGAAGAGATGCAAAAATAGCATTCTGGTGCTTGATAGGTGCCACCTCGCAGGCTTCCTGCATGTTACCAGAGAGGCTTTAGTCTCATTTTGTTCTTCTGTCATTTAGAAACGGGGACGATCTGACTACACTATGCTTACCAACCTGACAACTGATAATAGTTACTATTGGCTGATGAGGAAGACGCACAAAGCAGATATATGGGTCATGCTAGTATAGCAAAAATGTGTTTATTATTGCTAATTATTGGAGCATAAATACATGGCTACATAAGAACATGCATATCTGCTGACCTCCTGTGGTGTCAGAATACATCAATAACAAACCTGCATGTTCAAGTTTAACTTGACTTTGGTGCTACATAATCAGCACATGTAAGAACAAAGCCATTTCAGAGATCTCTACACTGGTTTTATAGACTGGTAGTAGTTTATTAAAGAATTGTTTTCTTTACTTTTGTTCTATTTGCATTAAAGGTCTTCAATTTAGTTAGAATGATGGCACAGTCACCGTTTACTCTTCAACATCGGTCAACTGATCTGTGGTTACATTTACAGCCAATTTACCACAAATTGATCAGTTCTGCATATAATTCCATACAATATGGGATATACTCTGACCTTAAACAGAGCCTAAAACGTGCATAACAGTGTATTAAACACGTTAGCTAATCAGACGGCTAACAGTAGCTTAAAGCTTAGGTAACCACTAGACAGCAGGAATGTTAATGTCTCGTGCAACGTACACGAGCTTCAAGGGTGACATTGCGATAACACTGATATGCATGCTTTGATTACACGTTTCCCATTCAGAAATACAGTAACAAATTGTAACAGGCGACTCGACTTGTTTCGAAGAGGGTGACAACATCTTTAGCATTATGCTAACATTTTCCTTCAGTGTGAACATTTATGTGGACCTCAAGCTACTACAGCTGGAATACAATGGCCACACGGAGCGTCACGTTTTGTGTCACGTTGTGTCTGTTTTCTTACCTGTTTTGCACGACAGTGCAGCCAGGGCTCAGCAAATTATTGTTTAATATTAATTTAGTTGAAGGACGTCCTAGTTTGGTAAGCGACCTTAGCATCGTGCCCGCCATCTTGGCTAATAGACAACCCTAACCGTATGACGTAGAGGACTATGTTCTTCTTCTTTAGTGTTTTTACAGGCGCACTACGTGTATAACGCGTGTGTCTGCCCTCTATCGGTATGATGTATCCAAATACATAAAGTAGCTTACTTGTTGATAATGTGTAGTGCAGGTTTTCTTTCGAAATCATTTAGTTTACTAGAAATTATGTATAATTTATTGTAACTTATACAATAAATACATGAATACTGTTACGATGTTGGAGGATAGGTAATATAGTTATGCAGTAAACATTACCAAAATATTTTAAACAATGCCCATCCCCATCTTCCCAAAGACGACAAACTCTGCTATTATATAAAAAACAGTGCTTTTATTTATGTAATACTGTGGAAAAATAATTACATACCATTTTTAAAAAATATTGAAGATAATGAAATTAAAAAATGAGTTTGATAATGTTCGTTGTACATCTTTTGAACAGTTGTCTCTGCTACGAAGAACAGTACAATAAGATTAGAATAAGAACATTGGATTTTTCTAAATTCAAAGACACAATAATACAGGATACAGTCCTACCAGAGGTATAAAAGTACTGTAACAGGATTGTGAGAGAAAATGATATGGACATATACTGAAACACACACCCGCACACTTAAGACACAGACATGCACACACATACTGTATACACACACGGGCATGCATACCGGCGCACACTGGAATCGGGCGCTGCGTGTTTACAGTATGCTTCCCATACGCGCGCAGTCATTCACACATCTGTACAAACACACTGTACAAATCGATGTGCGTGCCAATGCCCACACACTCCTTCTTGATCTCTCTCACACTCGCACACCCACACACTCGCAGTCATACATTACTACACGTCAATATTGTGGACAAGCCTTCATTGAACCTCTCCATACACATTCTCCTCCGGCCGTTTTTTTTTTTGGCAGACAGACGATGAGGAATGATTCAAAATGGAAATGTGCGACATGTTCCCCTATAAGGCCACTCAGTTCTAAATCCAACATCTGTGTTTTTCTCTCTGTCTCTGCACCACGCTTGTAGTTAGGAGCTCAGAGGAAAAAAAGGGGCTCCAGCCTACGAAAATGTCTGGGAATGACTCAAGGCCCCCGAGCCTGATTTGTAAAGCAACAGTCACCAATAGAAGGAGCGTCTACTGCATATACATGGTCTAAGGTGAAGAACAACATGAACACTTGGCACTAGGTTTCGTTTATGCACTGATATACCCTTCCTGAATTCAGGCTCTGCTGTTGACACAAGTCGTCACTCCGTCTCAGCGGAATCCCCCGGGCAGGCGCCCGAGTTAAGTGGGCTCACGTTCAAACGTTTGGTCCATACATACACATTACATGTTTTACATTGACAAAAATAATTCTGTAATGTTAAAAAATAGAATACAAAGCTCTAGTCTGGTGTGCAAATGAAAAGAAGACATTACACAGATATAGATAAGGGACGTCTAAGCATGAATACTGTCGATGCGGTGCAAAATGATGACAACCCTCCCAACGCCGTCCCGGCCGCAACACACTCCCACACGCTCCCGAACAGGTGTGATGGCATGTACCACTGTAGAGAAGGGCATTCTGGGATACTATATATATATATGTGCTCTATGATGATTGAATAAGACAACCAGCGAAAAAAAAAAGAAAAAAAAAAAAAAGATGGTGGCCAGAAATGACTTCCACTGGTTCAGCATTTACCGTATTTGACAGTCAGTCAGTTTTGCCTTAAGACGTTCTTGCTCATCATTTACAAAGTCAGTTCATAGCAAAAGATCTGTGTCCTCTTGTCCTCTCTCTGGTTCTTGCTCTCTGTCCTAGTCTTGATTGTGACTTTCGCCGTCCGCTCTTTCAGAGCTCAGATAAACAAACACATCGGGAGTGAGGGAATTCAAAATTGTGTGGAATTTCCCTTCCCTGTCTCACTAAAGCTCCTTCTCCACCGCTCGTCTCGTATTTCTCTCCGCGTTTCTCATACGCTCTCTGTCTCATGGGCACGGTCTTCTGACTCTGTGCATGGGCGTGTCTGTGTGTGATGTTTGTCTGAGTTCTGTTGTGTGTGTCTGTGTTAGTGTGTGAACGTGTGTGCATGTAAATCTATGATTGTGTGTGTTTTTTGGGATGTGACACTATTTATAAGATGCTTCCTCATGCTCTGCTAAGAATGTGAGGTGGTTCTGCGTCCCTCCGTCTCACACATGAGTCTGCATCCTCTGTGTGTGTCGGCTGTGGGAGTAGTCAGAGTGTTGCGAGGTGTAGGAGAAGCGAGTGGAGCTGCCGTACTTCCCTAGTCCAGTCTCTGATCCTGAGGGAGCAGGACCCCCGGGACCCACGCCGACCCCAGGGCCCCCCAACCCGGGTCCTAACCCGGGTCCCACCCCGGGTCCCACCCCGGGTCCCAATCCGGGTCCCAATCCGGGTCCCACCCCGGGTCCCACCCCGGGTCCCACCCCGGATCCCACCCCGTACATCTCATAGGATGGGCAGGCCTCCAGCGTGGCCAAGCTGGACGGGGCGAAACCCATGCGGTAGGTCTGGTAATGCGAGGGGTATCCGTAGTTGTCGTAGGCCAGCTGGGAAGTGGAGTCCAGGAGGCTGCAGTCTCCTGGGAAGTCACTGGCAACGGGGGCGGGATTAGGCGGGGGCTGCTGGCTCTGGCCCGCACGGGTGAAGGTGTTGAACTGGGCGTAGCTGATGTGGGACAGTCTGGAGGGAGGCCGGGGGTCATAACAGGCCTGGGGGCGGCCTGGGGAGGTGAGGGGCCCCGGGGGACCAGGGGCTCCTCCACTGGCCGTGGCTCCCGAGCCTCCGGCACTGCTGCTGATAGATGCAGCTCCCCCTGGTGTTCCCGCAGGGGAGCGGTAGTCAGAATAGTGCAAGGTGGAGCGGGAGGCAGGGCGGCCTTCATCGTGGGTGGAGGCTCGCACGTTGTAGTAGCCATTGGTGGGGTCCTGAAGACAGAGGCAGAGACAAGCACCAAGAGACAAAAGCACAGAGTGGGCATTAAGGAAAGATATGATCAGGGGAAATATATTTTCTATATGCCAGTGTTTAGATTCATAGAATCAAAAAGACTATAATAAGATAATTCCTTTTTTGATCAGAAGAAAAAAACTGAAATTCTGAAGTGATCATTTCTGTCCAAAGCTTTCATGAGACTCCATGTTCAATCCCAGATTGTCTGGTTGAAGGAAGGACGAACTCCCTGCTCACTACACCCACATCATATTGCTTTACTGTTACTTCTGACATGATTCTGCCACCTCGTTGTCTCTCACGTACCCGTCTTCCCCCCCACCCAACTTTGTCTGACTGCTTCAGTGCTTCAGGCGGCGGGGAGAGAGAAAAATAAGTCTGGCTGAGGCTGTTGTCGGAGGCTGATCTAACCATCACCTGGGGTGGATTCATGTCTGTGTTTCTTCAAAGTGATCCAAGGCAGCACTCCAGCTAGAGGGCTGGTTTGCCCTCACAAAATATTCATGGAGGGGGGGGGGGGGGGGTTCAACAGAACATTTTGGCAGCCTTACGCGTGAAAATACATTCATCATCTAAGCCCAGCCCCACAGTGTCAAAATGTATAAATGATTCATGCCAGCTGAATGGGCAGGGTATGCCTAAACAGCCTTCATCTTTTTAAAATGTATTTCCAATTGTTGTTTTTTTGTCTTTACACGTCTTCGAATGAGAGAGAAAACCTTTTAAGCAATCAGCAAAGCTAGTGGCCTCACGGCCCTGGATGAGAGTGAGGGGCAGAGAAGACCAGGAACTAAATATTAAAGGAAAATAATAAAAGAAAAGTCAACTGCACTGCAGAAATATGTTTGTCTAAAACACCCTACTCTAATATCCTCACAGATATTGAGTGCTATACTAACAGTAAGTTTAAAGGTCACTAGTTTAGAGGACAGGAAGAGGTCTAAATACTCCTGAGGCTTGAGACAGCTGAGGGGATTTTGTACCGGAGGTGGAATTGTTTTAACTGGACTGTAGTCATAAGCAAGAAGTCATATTTGCTGGCCAACAGCAGTTAGATAAATAGCAGCCCCTTTGGTTACGTTCTTATTCACTGAACAGTTACTTTATATAAGACCATGACAGTCAAATGAAGCAACTATGGAAATCATTTAATGCAAACTACTGTGGATGTTTCATGTGTTTATTAAGGTGCAAAACATTTAATATTTTATAGTAGCTAATACTTACACATTTTATTCTAAGCAGGAGTTTGTTTTCCAGCTTAGATGAACTGGGATTTAGTTGCTAATCTGATTTTGCCTTTTTTGAATTAAACCTGCATTGAATTTTGACTTGTGCAGTCCACCGTCAAAACCCAGACTGGAGCTGTCTGGTCTTTGTCTTCTCCTGGCTGCTGCTGCAGATGCACATGTGCTCCCTCTAGAGGGTCAAACGTGAAACTTTAAAATAATATGTTTTTTTTTATGGAATGAAACTTTTAGAACCTATAAATATTACACTTGTATAAATGAATGAAACATCAAACTCAATATTTTGCAGGAGTCGTGAAGTTGCAATGAACTATCACTTACACACCTGTTTTCTAGAAGGAAAAATCAATACTTCAATGCACCTGGATTTTTGAGATCAAATCAGTTGTCAGTTGGGATTGTATATAAATGAATAAGGCTTCATTCATAATATTAAAATCTGTAGAATACTGTTACGTTCATATGATTATCATTTCTGTCAGCTAGACACTTCCACCAGAACACAAATGCTGCTCCTCATTGGATGAAAGTCACCATGTCATTAATGAGTCGGATATTTGCAGCCCCCTGAGGTATGAATAGAATGAAACATTGCACCAAAATGAACTCCACAAGACCTCACTTTGACACTGGCATCATTTTAGTACAAACGTTTTGTTGATTGTTACTTTTTTCATTGAACATGTGTGTTTTTCTACATATTTCTGTACATTTGAGTCATTTCTGAGCTTGTTTTGCTTCCAGATTTGATGCAAACGAGTGTTTAATGAGCTCACCTTGAGGTCATACTCCTGGCGGGTGTCCAGGGTGTCGCTGCGGAGGTCAGACTTGAGCTCTATGTCATCTTTAAAGGGCTGATTGGAAGGAGAGAAGGACACAGAGGGGAGAAACTAAACCGTCAAACAACAAAACAAAAACAAAAAGGAGGAGAGAAGGTGCCATAACAAAACGGAAGAGGGAAGGAGGCAACAGAGTATGACAGGAAAAGAGAAAATGGAATTCAAAGTGTTAAAAGGAGCGATTACAGGGGAAAACACAGTATGTTTTTAGTCAAAAGGTGCAGTGTGGGGTGTAGGGAGAGGTTACTGAGTTAATGTGAGTTTTTCTTTTCTGCAACTACAGGCTGTGTAAACAGTGTATGGCCCAAGCACACATATCCCGCTGCCGCTCACCGAGTACATGGCCTTGACCATGCGCGAAGCCGTGGACACGCTGCCGGAGTCCTCCTCTAAGCTGTGGGTCTCCTTGTTTATCGTCTCCACCTTGATGTCGGGCTTACCCAGCGTGACCCCGCGCCGACCTGGAAGCAAAATACGGCAAGGTTGAATACAGCTGGACACACGCACCGCAGCCTGGTGTGTTTTCACGAGCTGGAGGAGCAAGTTCAGAGGGGACCTACATCCATATGGTGGAGAGGAAGCTGTGTGGTTTGATTTTCTGCAGGTTATTTGGTCTAGTGATGACAAGCATTCAAACCTCAAACATGAAAAACTTCTACTGTACATGTAGATCTGGTCTTTATAGTGTATGTGTGAAGCACATGGAGAGTATGACTCACTGCCTTTGCGCTGCCGGTAGAAGATCAAAACGAGGACCAGCAGAAAGATGAATAGGAGGATGGTAGAGCCCACCGTCCCACCAGCTATTATGCCCACCGGGACTTCCTCTGAAATGAGGGGGTGCGAGAGAAAAAGAGAGACAGAGAGAGAGAGATGGATGGAGAGATAGATTGAGTGAAGATGCAAATGTCTGTCTGTCGAAAGCTGCACAATCCAGATTTTAACGCAAAAACTACATCATTCTAACCTAAGCTACATATGATAGATGAATAAAGTGAAAACAACATGTCTGATCTAAATGAACATTGTTTTTCAGGTTCTATTTTTTTTTTTTTACTTCTCAAGAGTTTTAAATAATGTAACGGTGCGATAACTAATTTAAAGCTGTGCATGTCTTGCTGTAATACTTTGTCAACTTCAGCATTCTACAAACTAAAATCAGCCGTTTTCTCCTTTGCTCTTTTCCCGATGGAACCACTACATGCTGTCTTATCTTCATGTAGTGAAATTTAAAAAGTAATGAATTCACGAAACACACCGGTCTCCTCCAACGTGATGATCATGGTGCCCGGGCCGAACGAGTTCCAGGCCGTGCAGTTGTAGGTGGACAGGAAGTCCGACTCCATCACGTTGTTGATGGTGAGGGTGGAGAGGACGCCGCCGCCTTCGGCTGACGGTTTGCTCTGCTCCACCGTGTACCTCTCCAGCAGTGTCCCCTTCTCCTTCTCCCACACGTTCTCCTTCCACGCCCACACCTGCAGCACACACACACACACACACACACACACACACACACACAGGAGGCCATATTAGATTATATCACAATGAGTAAGTTGTGTGGTAAAATTCTATTCACTCTATCTGAATAGATGTTTTTCTTTTGATTGATATGAATCAATAAATGAATCGTAACTATAACAGGCCATCTGCCAATAAAACTAATCCCCTTCAAACAGAGCTATAATAACAACTGCTGCACAATCACACAGTAAATGTCATATGCATGCAGTAATGCACGCGTGCGTACACACAGACAAACACATTAGTCTGCCATATTAAATGTGTCTACATACAGTTATTGTTGTAAAAGCACCAAAGCATTAACACGTCATGGAGCAAACTTTATCATTTTACAGCTAAACAGTGTTTGAGTTAGACAGATACATATATGGACAATAAACACTCTGAAGTAATGAAATACATGAAACCTTTTTGTCTTTTTGTTTGCCTTTGTTTGAAAATGTTCTTGAAAAAGCAATGTCGGAAGGAGGACGGAATGACATGAAATAAGACCCCATACATTGACACTGCTCACATGTAATCACACATTGTGCGTGACAACAGTCTGTATGTTTCTGCAGACTGAAGTGGAGGTGAGTGGGGTTGACGGAGCTGGTGCGAATCTTGAACAGTCTCCAATTTTAAAGCCACTAGAAGCAGCTATATTATTCAGCATTGAAGTACTGTACTAAGGCGAAGTTAATTATGCATAAACCCACATGTTCCCATAATCTTCCCACTTATTCCAGAGAAGGATAATCTCCTGGCTGTGGCGTTTACTGGGACAACTGTTCCTCTCCACTCCTTTATATTTTATAAATCTTTTTCTGTCCCAGCCTCCGCCGCCTGCATTAGCAGCGCGCCCTGCGAGTCAGGATGGATCCGTCACAGAGGAACTACTACTACTGCGTCTCTGTGATACGGCCGAGTGGAGAAAGCATCTGGGCTGATTTCTGACGCAGGAAGCTAAAAGTGGAGCGGCTTAGTGTTAGTGTTGGTTTGTTTATCTGATGGGACGGAGGGAAATTCTGTGAGAGTTTGAGGGTGAGTCACCGCTCAAAAAGAAAAGGGGACAGTGCCTAAAAGCATTCACCGTGCAGGAGTAGGGCCATTTAGGAACAGGATTGTACAGTAACAGTGAAAGACAAATCGCTGTCAGACTAAAAGGTACAACCTTATGCTCTATGTGATCGAAGCGTTTCCTAGTTTGTCAGTTTCTTTTGTCTGAATAATTGATTCTGGGCTAAAATGTGGACATTTATCATCGTGGGTTTGATGCCAGAAATGTTTCCCTTTTTTCCCCATTTTCACTTACAATCTTATCTGGAGGAGGTGTACTGGCTATGTAGCATTTCACTTCTCCTCTCTCCCCCTTCACTGCATACTGGACTGGATCACTGGAGATGATGGGGGGACCTGCATTGATCAAACACGAGAGGACATGTGAGTGTATGCAAAAGAGAGAAATAAAACTAATTACACTTAAAATACGAGAAACGGCAAACATCATATCCACGCCTGGTGTTTTGACCTTCCCAAGCCTGTTCAAGATGAATTGAATTACTTTCACAATAAATGGCCACCACTTTGGACATACAAAACTTCTTTTTGTCAATTACTGTCAAGCTGCCCTTTTAGAGCGTGCATGGTTTTCATGTACAGGTAGTGAAACATTAAATTGTGCGGATGTTCTCTGACCGTTGACGGTGAGTGTGACCTCAGTCTCTCCGACTCCGATCCGTGGGACGATGGCCTTACATACATACTGGCCGGCATCCGCTTGGCTCACCGACTTCAGATACAGCTGGTTGCTGTTACTCAGAACCTGTGGGGGAGTGAAAAAAAAAAAAAAAAGGGACACAAATATAAACAAGACACATTTGCTAAACACGGGGATTACCAAAATAAAAGGCCACATGGACATAAGTAGAAGAGAGGCTAATGTATTGCACCTCCAACTGTTTACCTTATTTTTGTAACTGATTATGTTGCATATTTATTTGAGTATATTTGTTCTACTACTCTGACCCTAACTGGTTAACAATACAAACTTGCACATCACAAAGGTTTTGCAGTTGCCTAGCAACCACATCTATTGGAAAATTAGCTGTGGGAAAATTACGGCTAAATATGAAACTACCTAGAGAGAAAGAGGTACCCGAACAAGACTGATTAGATAGACGTGGGTGCATGTCAGTCCATGAGGCAGGCTGCATTTACTCTAACTGTGTTGTGTTCTGATCTCTAGTCAAAAACCCTCTGAACTGTAGTTTAAGAGTCAGCAAATAGCCGGTGGTTAAAGCAACAATATCAATGTTCACATACACCTATTAGCCATCACTTTAGCTTCTGGCTGGTGTACACAGTAGATGTTATGTATATATCTTTTACAGTAATTTAGAAGAAAGACATCCAAGTGTACAGACAGACAGACACACTGAATGACAGGCTGCATTAGTAAAAGATGGGAGAAGATAGAGTGAACTGTAAAAATAGAGGAAAGCGTGGGCTCTTAGCCTCTTACCATGTTGGAACCCTTTTTGAACCAGGTGAGTGTGAGCGGAGGGTTTCCAGCCCATTTGCAGTTGAGGGTGACGTCAGAGTCAACATCTACTGTTTTGGGCTGCGGCTCCACCAACAGAATTGGACCGACTGGAGACACAGAAACAGAGAGAGCAGTTCTTTGTTGAGCAATGGGTAACAATGCAGAAGGACTGAAGGGGAGAAGCTGCTCAGAGGATAAAAGAAACGGTGTGTTTTAATCCTCTGACTCCAGACTGCAGCGAGTGAAGTGGGCCATGATGAGTAAACAAGGTGAGACGAGTATTGTGTGACTCACAGTGAACGTCCACCAGGATGCTGACATTGGTCTTTCCCACAGCGTTGAAAACCAGACAGGAGACAGGCTCGGTGAAGAAGGAGTGGTCGGCCTTGGTGGTGAGCACACTCTCCCTGGCGCCCTGCAGCACCACGCCGCCCTTAGCCCAACTGGGGTTAAAATATTATACACCATGAAACATGTACACACCCCTGGGACAACATATGTGACACAAATGGGAAGCAAAAATATGAAAATGTCTTTTTCCTTTGGCCACAGGAGGTGGATTTAAGACTACACACTCCTTTCAAAAGGAAGAAACACAAACCACAGACATTTGAAACAAAAATCAGATCAAAGATTCTTTATATGGAATTCAGAGCGTGTCTGTTGCCTCCACACGGCTCTCAACATGGAGACGGCTGGGCCGGTGGCTAGCTGCTAACAGTGCTAGCAACAAACGGTGCTAACAGGTACAACAAGGCATCAACACACACAGAGGGAGAGTGACTTCCTTCTCTGCTCAGGTAGACATTACTTTACAAATCTTTACATCGTGAATAGCTATTTTGCTGTTATATTAATGCTCTGAATCCTGTAAATAGAACCTTTCAAACCAAAAAGGAGAATGACAATGTGCTCGTATGTGGATGCAGACCTGTAGCCCATGATAGGAGGGTTGGCATGAGCCTGGCAGGTGAAGGTGACTCTGTCCCCCTCCAGGACAGAGCGAGGCTCAATGGACAAGGTCACTGTCGGTGGATCTGGAAGGGAAAGAGAGAGAGAGTCACATAACAGCAGCCTTACTGCATCTAATATATGCTGCAATCTGGAGGACAGTTTGATGCAAAATGGCTGCCACACATTACTTAGTAATAGCTATAAAACATTCAGTGGCTGGCAGATGATTTTATGTTTCAAAATATGACGCCATGTTGCTTTTAATTAGTCTGAAATAAGTAATAAGCAGGGTAGTGTAATTATATATTGTGATATATTACGTTCCCATTCTTCTTTCAATGGGAACGTAACATTTCTTTCTTGTGTCTGTTCTATTTCATTGCTTACGGTGAACGTTGAGGGTGACAGTTGTGCTTTTTCCAGTGGGAACAGCCAGGTTGGTGGTCACACAGCTGTAGTTCCTCCCAGTGTCGGAGTCGACAGGGTGGATGGGCAGGTAGCTACGTGTGGTCACCCTCTTCCTGTCTGGAAGCACCTCCTGATGATGATGATGGAGGGCAGAGAGGCATCGATCAAACATTTACAATACAGATAAAATACAGTACAAATGTTTCATGAATGTGTGTGTTCAGTGTGACTGACTTACAGTGGTACTGGCAGCCCCGTCCACAGGCAGACCATCTTTAAGCCACTCGATCAGAGACGGCGGTTTAGCCCCTCGAGACACGCAGCTCAGGTTGTAGGACTCCCCCGCATTCAGCAACACCTCCGGACCCCCATCGATAACTGGGTTGTCTGGGGGAACTGGGGCGGGAGAAGAGAGTGTTAGAAACATCTCACATACTTTCAATGGACACGTGCGCTGACACACATGCACACAAACGTACTGAGGACGGTGAGTTTGGCCCTCCTGGACCTCAGGGCGGCATCAGGGGCCTGGCACTCGTACAGGGAGTCATCAGACAGATCGGCGGACAGGATCTCCAGGTTGTACTGGCCCAACTCCTGCACGCGCAGCACCCGGTACCTGGGCCAGGCTGGGACACAGAGACAGGCACAGCACATCAAGTAACATAACAGAACTTTTAGATCCACTTTGGGCCGATGACTTTTATATATCCGACTTGGGTGGCTTTTTATATCTATAAAACGTGGCAGCACGTGGCAGTTTGTGCTGATAAGAAAACATCAAGTGTGTGTCATGAATGGAGCCAAAATGACACCAGAGAGATGAATGGCCACTTGATGCGATAGACATTCACAAACACACTTCCATGTCCAAACATACTCATTCACAGACACACACACACACACACAATCAAACACACGCAGCCCAGCCTCTCCGATCCTTCCTCTCCCTTCCCCCATCCGCCACACAGCCCAGCTGTGTCGCTGCTGTACATTCTCACCGTTAGGTGGCATCCATGCTCTCTCTCACCAGCAGGGGGAAAAGATGAATGCATTATGACAGCAACGTTTTAGAGGACTCAAATCGACTCCAGTCCGTGGTGCAGAATTCATGTTTGCTGCCCAGACGTAGATCGCATGTGAAATTCGCTATGTCGTCTCCATGTGCAGCACCCGAATTGATCTGGCTGCTCGCCTAACCTTGTGTAACCTTGCTTCTGCATGCATGTGTGTGTGTGTGCGCTTTGTATATTCGTGCATTTGCATTTGAAATGTTGAGAGAGAGAAAGCGTATGAAAAGCCCAGAGAACGGGGGGGGGGGGGGGGGGCGGAGGGACAGAGCCTCATACACATACACGCCTGTGTGTGTGTGTACGAAGTGGCCACTGTTCATTCACGTTTAAAAGCTTTGGCTTGAAGCACTGGACCATTACAGTAACAATATGATTCAAAGAAAGGGAGGGAGTAGAAAGGGATGGAAGGACAGGAAGAATGGAGACAGGACAGATGAGGAAAGAAGGGATGACAGAAAGGAAGCATGAACTGAGAGTGTGTCAAGCAAGATGAGGGTGAGAAAAGAGACATAGTAGGGAAGTTAAATGGAGAATGGGAGAGAGGGCTCAGTGCAACAGAGGCGGCCGATAGAAGGAGAACAAGAGGGAGGGAAATAAGCGAGGGAGCTTAGAGGAAGAGGTCGCAGAGGAATAGCATGACAGACAGGAGAGGAGAGGAGAGGAGAGGAAGAGGAGAAGAGAAGAGAGGAGAGGAGAGGGTAATAAAGGCCAAAATCATAACATACAGTAGATGAGAAGGAGAATGGAAGAACCAGAAAGGAAAGGAAAATATACGGTGGGAAGCAAAGAAAAGGAAAGGGAAGGAAAATCTATACAAAAGCAGAATATTAAAGCAGAAAGTTCCAGGAAAACAACAGCAATATCAACAAAACACGAGGCAGCAGCAAGTCACGAATGATGCATTCTCCCTCGGGACCGATCAGTTAAAATTGGGCCCACTTGCTCTGACCAGTAATTGCACAGTCCCCTTTGGGCTAATCAGTGCAATCCAGAAGACGCTGCAACGCAGCGATGAGATGCATCATTCCCCCAAGTTTTGTCAAAGTCAGACAAGCGCCGTCTTAAATCGTTGTTGACACACAGACAGGCGGGAGACTTAATAAATCAAACTGGAAAGTTCATCCCGGGGGACAAAAATGCAAAGACGAACTGGAGTGAACAGTAAGGGCATCTGCATGATAGAACGAGGGCTACATGCATATCGGTTGATGTATCGGCCTCTCATTAAAAATAGGTATACTTTCATACAACAGTTATTAGCTAGTCGATGGCGCCCACTGATGATGTGATGCTCCTCAGCCGAGTTTGAAGGGTGTCAATCTGTAAAATGTGACCGAAGGGAGCTTCAAGTTCCCCATCTAACATCGGATGAGACGTGCGGAGGAAGGTGGCCAAAGTTAACATCAGCCTGAATAAGCACACAGTTTGTCACCTTGCCGTCTCAATCTAGCTGGAACTACAAACATATTTAGTCAAGGGCAAGGGCTTGTAAAAGGAAGCGTGCCGTGTGCAGCCTATCATAGCTGGTAGTTTAGTGGTTATCGTGACAACAAACATACAGCTGATGAGCCTGAAGCTAAAGCCTCGCTGAGCTCTGGTACAGAGCTGCTAGCATGGCTGTAGACTCGTGGTCTGGTTCCTGGTTACTGCAGAGGTACGCCTTGGGATACAAGTCACTGGGTATGGACAGTATAGTTGGCATGCATGGTGTAACAGTGGTGCTTGTGCATTTGTAGTATTTTTCTGGGTCTAAAATTAGGTCCGGTTTTATGCAAAGTTCATAAATGTTACGTGTGGGACCTCCGTGGCCTGAGTTTCAGTTTGAGCACAGTTCCGGAGCGCTGCACTGCAAATGTTGCCGCTGTAAGCACAAACTTTACACATTAAACATATGGCGCCCCTCGGCACTCTGAAATGTGGAGTAACGAGCGAGCGGCGAGCCGTCTTCACAGTTGTTTAAAGAGAACCAGAAAGAACTCAAGACATTCCAAAAACACAATGTTCTACAGCTTCAGAAATGTTTGCCCATCAGCAGCTCCAATCCAAAAGTATCAGCATCAGCTTTTGGAAAAAAAGGCATCTTAGTCACATGCTGAACAGAGTGAAGGGAGCCCGAGTATGATGTCTCACCCCGGAGGTCCTCTCCGATGCCCAGAGCCAGGCCATCTTTGGTCCACTGAACAATGCCTGAGTAGTTGAAGACAACGCAGGACAGGATCACCCTCTGGCCCCGCACCACCGACTGGTCTGCCGGCTCCTGAGAGAACCTCGCTGTCCACACTGCAGAGACAGAGAGAGGATGGGAAATAGGAGAAAGGGTGGGGATAAGTTAGGGACTTTCTCATTTTCGCAACTTGCTACTGCAACATCACCCCAACCGCATGTATAGCATAGTATTGTGTCTGTGTTTTTTATGGTTAATTGATTGAAAACTGCACCCCCTTTGATCGCACGTTGGCTTGCGGCCATCGACCGAGTGAAGAGCGGCGTGGAAAGACGGAGGTGTCAAACAAGGGGAAATCAGAATAGAGTTAGAGAAGAGGAAGAAAGAGGAAGAGAGAAGACGAAGAGGTGGTTAACGCTGACTCAGGAGAGAGGAGCTGGGAGATCAAATAGGCAACTTCAGCCATCGGGTCTCTCGCACCCCTTTTTCTTCTCGCTCCTGACTTTTATTTCCTCAAAACTCTCCGGCCCTCCCTCCCCCATCTCTCTTTTTCTCCCCTTCTTCATTCCTCCCTATGAGTCATCTCCCAGGCTTCCACTCCACAACCCAAACTACAGTGGCTGTCATTGTCTACTGGCCTCTCTCTCCCTCCAGTCTGTAGTCCACCACCACAGCGGACAGACCAGCTATGGCCCACCAACCGACCGTCTAATATGAGGCAGAAACGAGAAAAAGCCGGCGTGCTATTGTTCCGCGCTGTACGATGACAAGTTGTAATTAGCCGTCGCTTGAAGACGTGACACCCGCACAATAGAGGAGAGGCAGTCACTGTGGCGGACTCGCATCGAAAATGTTTCGCTCTCTCCGTGGCTTTCATTCCTCTCCCCTCTCCCACTTGTTATTTTCAAAGAATCTCGTACAGTAGATCATGAACCCAATGCTGCATGGTACCCCCCCCCCACACACACACACACACACCTCCTCCTCCTCAGCCATTACCTCTCTCCTTCTATTCTCTCTCTATAATGTTGTATGTCCTTTACCCAAATTGCTTTGCTTCACTCTCTGCTTCTCCCTCGATATGTATGTACCCCCACTCGCCTCCTCCACTTTGAACATCCATAATGCTGTCTATGAATGTCCTTTTGCCTGCACAGATTTTTCCCTCTTCCTCTCCTCCACCACAGTGTGTACTGTACGTGCCTCCTTCTTTCTATATACATGCATAACGCTGTACATGTCCTTTTACCCATAATGCTTTCTATTTCTGTGTTCCTCCTCCTCGCTGGTTGGTAGGGGGTTAGAGGCGACTGTCACAACTCATTTATCACATTAAATATCAGCCCTCCAGCACTTTCTCTCTCCCTTTCTTTCTCAGTCCCCTCCGTTCACCCGTGTCTCTCTTCTCTCACTTTTCTGTCCCTTCACTCCCTTTTCTTCACCTCCTACCATTTACATCTCTCCTTCTCACTTGTCCTCTCCTCTTCACTTTTTTTTATCACCCCCCCCTTTCCTTCCCGTACACTCCCTCACACTTCTCCCTCAGAGCCCTCCAGCGCTTTACTGAAGGTTCCCATCTCTCTCACTATTTTTTAACAACTGCCATATGCCTCTTCTGCGGCCCACCTCCCGCCTCCCCCATCGTGACCCTCGGTCCCTATCTCTCACATACACAGGCATGCACTCTCCCCCTATCATGTCAGATTTGGTGCGATTTGCGGAGGTACAATACGCCTGATAATACAAAGGAACCCAGTCATGCAAAAAGATTCATAACAATAACAATGGTTTCTGACAGTGCAGCACATTAATATTCTGAGGATAAAGGAGATGTGCGAGGATACACGGTGAAAAGGGAATCAGATGCAGATGGAGCTCTGCAGCATGCATACCTCGAATAATTTAGCACTGAACCAGAAATAATAATAATGGGCGGCCCTTAATTTGCTCCCTGAGGATCACCCAAATGAACTGGATTAATAAGGTAAACAAAGCAAACATAGCAACAACAACTGGCTATGAAAACTTGGGGAAAACATGTCAGATACTTGACAAAGACTTTAACTGTAAACACTGACGAGGCACCACAAGAATGTGAGTTTTCACCAGCCAGCAATCACCAAGTCCGGTGGCTCTCAAGAGCGTATATGGAGACTTTAGTTCCCTGTTTGACGGCAACGTTAAGTGGTGAAAACATTCTAAATATAGCACACACTTAAACTAATATTGATTTTTTTTTTAGGTTTTGCTGCTGCCCCCCGTCCACAGCAGTACATTGCTTTGTCTGTTTCTCCTAAACTCCATCAACGTTAGGTAAAACACGGACTCTGGATAAGTACCTCACACAACCCCACTTCAAAAAACACAAACTATCCCTTTCAGGAGGTTTATTTTCCGAATGTGAAATGGTGTTGTTGCTCATTTCGTCATGAATAATTAACATGATAGAAAAACACTTTCAAACCAAGTTGTCAGAGGCTATCAAGATGGCTGTGTTTGAGTTCTGTCAGAGCTCCACTAGTACTCTGGTGGCTGCTCGCCCCGGTTCAGCCGGCCCAAAATCACAATGTCTGGCTTCAACCAAAGTCAGCCAGCCAGTTCTCAGAGCCCAAGGTGAAGTCTCAAAACATTTTTATTTACAATGGTTTGCTGGAAAAACACTAGGGTTGGGGAATATATGACGAGTATATTGGCTGAGTACATTGCCAGTTGCTGTTTTTTGGGAGATTTATTTTAACCCAATAGCACAAAGAGGCCAGCAAAGGCTTCTTACACATAATTTGATGAACCAAGGGTTTATTTCAACCAAAACAGAGTTGGTCATTATTGGAACAGAATGTGTTCAATGGTGAGTTTAACATGGCAGATAAGATCGTCCTAGTTGGGTAAAAAACCAAAACTTGAATTCAGAGAGTTTTTTTTACATTTTGTGGCTCTTTAGCTGTTAAAATGCTTCACTAATATGCTCCCCAGATAGTTGCTAAATTTGCCTTTTTGCCATTTGGTGATGGGGAGCTAGTGTACAGTGGCTTTGTCTGAGCGTTTTTCACTGCCTGCCTGCTACTGCTGCTGCAAACAAGTAGCAGGCTGTAAAGAACTAAATAATGAGCTGAAGGATGCTAAAACGCTCCATAGATCTGACAGGGACCACAGAGTTTGTTATTATGTGTGACCCCTCTCACATAAAAGTAGTCACGGGATCCACTGTAAATGTATAAAACATATTTATTATATCGCTATATCTTTAGGAGGTGTGTGACGTTCCACTTCCTCCAGACAAAGCAGAAGGGATGCTGCTCATCTCAGCCCATTGTAGCACGTATAGCAGTGATGTACAGGTTATTTAATTAAGGTGGAGAATGTATAATCAGTAAGATATTTAGACTGACATAAACAAAAGTTAATTCTAGACAGTGTGGTGCAGTTTCAATTTCCCGTATGCACCCTAATCTACCAAAACTCATCCGTCTAACACAAATACTGGAATGAGGATTTATACCATCTTAAAGAGCAAGAAAAGCATTTTTCTCACATATACATGGGTGTAAAGAGAGTTGAGCTGGGTTTAAACTACCACGCAACCTTGACAACAGCCTGAGGGCAAGCAAATCCTTTCCTCCACCACCTCAGATATGCTAGCTGGAGGTATTCCCTTAGCTGCCTCAGTAAACCACAAACATAATCCAAACTGAACACTCCTGAGTGTGGGCTACACAATCTGCAGAGGAAAAAAACACCCATGCAAAGGCTGAGGACTGAAAACACTGACTCATTTAAACATGTGCTCATCGCCTTCTGATTTCCATATTACCCAGTTAACACTTGTCAACATGAGTGTGTGTGCTTGTGTGTGTGTGTGTGTGTGTGTGTGTGTTTAAAGAAGGAAATCTGCGCGCGGAGAGCAGTGAGAGCAAAGGCAAGACAAGCGAGTGTGTGTGAGGGAGCTTGTGTTCTTTCATTATGTGGGTTATGCTGCAGTGACAAATTTAGAGTGTGTCCTGATTTCCTTGAGTCACTGATCCCCAAGACACCACCGGGAGCCTCCGAGCACCCTGTCCACACAAAGACCACAGTCACACAGAACTGCGACCATGACCACATGCACACGAACACACACACACACACACACACACACAAACAAAAACAGGCAGCGCAGATGACCTAACCTTCACCACATGGGCTAACCAACACACACACACACACACACACACACACACACACACACACACACACA